CTGCCCAGAATCAGAACTGGGTCTCATCTACAAATTGCAGCGTATTCGGCTGCAGCCCAAGACCGACTGCATTTGTTACTCAGATGTATAGTATTAGAAGCGAAAATTGAATAGAGCAAAAAAAGCATGTTATAGTACATAAATACATATGTACATAATATATACACATATACACGTACATATATGCGTGTGTGTTTGTATGTATTTTGAATGGCTGCGCTTTGTATTGGCCTCCGAATGTGTCTAGCTTCAATAGCAGGCCAGGGTCATGCGACATGGGAGGAAAATTGACGCGAAACGCGAAACGACAAACGGCGACTACGACTAGCACAGCAAACGTGTATAAAGTGCCCGTTATCGGAAGAAAACGCAAAAAGCTTTACAATATACACACACTCTCACACACGCTGGCATGCTCATGTACATACATACAAGTATGTAAATAAACTCACATTCACAAAAGGCGCGCGCGCTCGCGTTCATTGCCTTTGCAAAAAATTTTTTGTTGCCGCTACCAACCGACTGACTAATTTACGAATGAGGGAACACCCAGTCGGACACAATGCATTGGCCAGCTGACGAATTTATTAAACTAATAAGAGCTGATAGTTAACATTAAGGCAATCAAATAAATAATGATAAAAATCTAGGTTTATATATGAAAGATAAAGAGAGAACATTATCGACAGGTTCGTGTACTCGTTGACCTAATGACTAATAAAATAAAATCAAAACTTACAAACAAAACAAAAATCAGGTTTGCTCAGAATGTTTAACAAACTTTTATGTATATTTATATTTATGTACATACATGTATCATTATAAGTGGCGTTTTTTTTCGCGCCTGTATGTTGCATTATTCCTATGGGAATCGCATTGCAACAGTTTCGACTGGGTAGACAAACGTGAGTGAGTGCATGGCCATGTTCGAGTGAGTGAGTGTTAGAAATCAAGAGCACAAGGCAATAGACAGGGAGAGAGAACACTGCTGGTGCATGCATGTGAAAGAGCAGGCGGAGGTAGGCGCCTTACTAATTGATTGGAAAAAAGATAACAGAGCAGAAGCCAAAACGAAGAATTTTAGAATTTAGAATTTCAAGGGGGCGGCGTCCACACTGCGTCCGCATCTGTAGCCGGGTCTGTGTGTGTCTCTGTTATCGGACAGCAGCGGCAGCGACAGCAACAACAACAGCAGCGAAAATCAGGGCCAGCGGCGTGTGTGTGTGTGTGAGTGAGTGTTTGGGGTTTTTGCACGGCAAGTCAGTCTCATTTCATTTTTGATGAATTTTTTGGGTTGTTTTATTATTCTTTTTTTATATACAAGTATATACATACATACATATGTATGTATGCACGTATATTTTGGGCACCTCTTTTGTTGCTGTTGCTGTGAATATTTGTGAGGTTGGTCAGTGCCGTGCACGCGAGTGGAGTGACCTTTGGAGGATCGAGTGAGTGAGTGAGCGCGCAAATTTTGAATATTTACTTTCGGCAAACAAACACAGGCACGCAGAATTGCATATGTATGTATGTATGTATGCATGTACGAGTATGTAAGTACATGTGTGGGAAGTCATTGTCGAATCGCATTTAAATGTGTGCGCTTTATTTATAATTGGAGCACTTAAGCCTGCGCATTACAACAACAAAAGTGACAACAACAACAACAACAGCAAACAGAAACGGCAACAAATTTTGCGTTTCTTCGTCGCCTGTCCGTCAGATCTTTTGTCTGAGGCGTTCAGAGTAATTTATTAGTTGTCGCTGCTGCCGCCTTTGTTGTTGTTGGCGTGCGTCTAGGCCGAAGGTCGCTCACTACTCTTGTATGTATGTATGTATGTATGCATGCATGTATGTGTGTATGCGTGTGCGCGCATAATTTAAATTGCCAATCTTTTGCGCATATTCCACTTTTTCTCTTCTGTTTCTGTTTAGATACATATGTATGTATATTTTGTTGGTCAAAATCCGATCTGAAGTAACTCATAAAACCAATAAAAATATACAATTTTATTGGCATATAAACGAAATTTAATGCTCCCCTAAGCAGTTTTTGAAAAACTTTTTTGTATCGACTCAGTTTTTTTTTTGGTTATTGGTTAATAAAGTTCCATTTAAGTGGGACATTGTGCTGTAATTTTAGTACCTCGTCGGGTCAACATGGGGAGAAGAGGAAGAATTGCGAACAGTAACAACGACCTATTTTGTACAGCGAAAAAGCTAGAAATGCCAAAAACCCAAAACGAAAGGTAATAATTATTATAAATATTATATAAATTACTGATAACTTTGCAAATTTGAATATCTCTGTTATCCCTATTGAATGCTGTGGACATGTTCTTAAACTCCTTATCTTTAGTTCGATGTTTCTACTAAAAGATCGGATTCCGAGTCCGTCTATCCAACCAGCCAAACAATAATGCTGAATATGCCACACAATAGTACTTGAGAAACATTCAAATAAATTTAACTTACGACTATGAACTTCGCAACAAATTAGCTATCAGTTATTAATCGAGTCCAGTTTCCTGCCAAGTTCAAATTATAAATACGAAATATGCTCAAAATAAATCAAATAATACAAGGAAACTCTTTTGAGGCAAAAACTTCGGAAAGAGTAAAACAATTACATAACCAAAAGTTAAAAATTTATATAATAAATAAAATAAAATAAAACAATAATAAGCGGGAAATTCCTAAATTTAAATACAAAAATTTTCCTCGTTAAAATTTAAATACTAATGAAATAAAAAATCCATTTTTCGATTTCTAAATCTTAATATAAGTGAAATAAAAAAGAATTATTCATAACAATATTATATAAGAAATATATAAATAGAAAATCAGTAAAACTATAAAACAAACATTTCAATACGAAAGTGTTGAAAATGTATTAAAATATTGATTAAAATTTTCAAAAACATTAAAAAATAAATTAAAAAATATAAAATAAAAAAAAAATAAAAAATAAAATTACAAAATAAGAAATCAATAAATCGGAATAAAAAAAATAATTGTACATATTACCTAAACGGTAAAAAAAATTTTATAAAAATTGAAAAATCCCAAATATTTGAAAACAAACAGTAAGTAAATTTTTAAAAATATTCAAATTAGAAAAGTAAAAATAATTTCATTAGAGTTTAAAAAGAAAAAAAATTGTCATTAAATATAAATTCAATAAAAATGTAATAAACATCAATATTTAAAATTTGAAAGTGTTCAAAAATTTCAAAAATATTCGAATAATTTAAATTAAGCAAAAAATACTCATTTAAATAAAATGTGCAAAAAAACATTGATGAAATGTAAGCCCATAAATTCCATTAACAAAACTTTATGTAACAAAATATTTTAAAAATAATGATCAAAACCCCACATGAAAAGCAAATAAATTGGAAATGAAATATGAAAATCCATAAATTGGAATTAAGAGTGATCCCAAAACTCGTTCCACCTCTTCGAACTTTAGACAACACATACGAGTTGTATACTCGATATGTATGTATGTATCATGCACCTGCAATTTTCCTGAACTTTCAAAAACTGGCGACGAGCTGAGAGACGCGTGAGAGCTTTTTTCGCACTCAGCCTGTCTGTCCGAGCGTCCGACCGATTGCCTGCCTGTCTGAGTCTCATAATGAAAAGTGCGGCGGGCTTCCTGCTTTTGCCTCTGCTTCTCGATTTGCATTTTGCGAATGCAACTCCGGCGCCGCTAATCGGCATGCAACCTTGCGTATGCGTGATCTGAGCACGGCAGCGCATAGCAGAGAAGAGTTGACAGAAATGAAGCGATGGATGTGATGGAAATCTTCGAAACTTGCAGCGTCACATTGCGTATACGCAACGTTGTCGAACACTCACCATTTTAAGCAGAAGTAATCCAATATTAGGTATATCCATTATATGCGGGGGATCGTAATTTCTTTTGGTTTTGCTAAATTGGTCGCGTTTTGAACAAATTAGTGTTAAAAACAAATGCTGTTGTATAGGAAGTGTGTAAATAGGCAGAACGAATAACTTTATTGCACTTATATTTATAGAAAGATTTTCAACACATTTTTTTGAGGCACATTTTGGTATAAAACGCCAAATCGAGAAAGGCAGTGGTTGTTGTTGTTGTTGCAGTGTAAATATTATTGAAATTTTTGGCACTTTCGCACTTTTTGCAAATTATTTAACGCAATTATTTGCTGTTGTTGTTGTTGGTGGGGTTGTGATTGCTTTGCAACGCATTTTGGCAGCAAAGTCTTGACTAAGCTGCATTAAAGGACGCACGCTCGCCCAACATTTGGAAAATTAACGTAAAGAGATCTTAGTTTAGTTTTAGGCAAATAATAAACAAAACACTGGAGGCGTTTAATTAGCGCGACGTAACAAAGGAGGTGGTGTTGGTGCTTGTGCGGGCAGAGGGGGTGTTGTGGTTGTAAAAAGCGATGACAGCGATGGACGACGAAACGCGCGAAACGTTTACGCTGCAGTAGTAGTTGGGTTTATTTTTCTTTCTTTGCACAATTGATTTTTCTTTAGTTGCGTTGCGATGCGATCCGCTACGAAGCGAAGGTTTTTCGCTGCTGCTTGAGTTTGAATTTTGAATTTGCGACCGTCCGTTACAGCAGTCAAAAGAAGACTAAACGGCGAACGCGTTATTTTTGCACACAACCAGCGGCAACAACGGCGACGACTGCACTGAGACGCACACACACTTACCCACACAGACGGCACACAGAGTTGCCTCAAGTTCATGCTCTGAACTTCAAAGCTCAGTTACCTTCATGCACAGTCATAGCGACGACGACGCCATACTGTTGTTACTGTGTGAGTGAGTGAGCGAAGTGCTTGAAAAGCGAGAGTGTGAGTGAGAGCTGTTGAGTGTGGAAGCGCATTTGGCGCATATCCATCCATGAATGACGTTCATGCCTTGAAAATAAAGAGAGAGTGCAACTACAGTTGCATTTTAAGAGCGACTGCTAAGAGAATCGAACATTGAAAATAAAAACTCAAATGGCATATTTTTTTATTATCTTACGCATTATCCTTTTAATCGCTTATTCGCTTTGCACAAAATGCTTACAAATTTAAATAGCAGTGGAAAAACTTAAAAATCTTTTAATACATCATAAACGCCGAAAAACGCGGTCTCCACACTTCACTCTCTCCTCTCATTTGAATGGAAAGGACAAAAATGTATTCAACTTGTTTGCGCGCCTGAGTGGTCGGCTATCGCCTATGTGGTCTTCAATGAGGTCGGTACCTTGGGCAAGCCGAATTCATCCGTCTCGATAGCGCTCTGCAATAATGAGTAACGTGATTAATATTTAAGTAAGGGTTTCAATGGAATTAAAAACTTTTGTTTTTTGTTTTTGCTGGCTTTCTTACTAAAAGATGAGAGTAGTCTACACAACTTAGACAAACTTCAAATGGCATGTTCTTTCAGATTAAAATAATGTTTTAAGCTATAAATACAACAATTGTTAATGTTTTAACTTCAACTTCAACTTAAAATAATGAATTCCTCATTTTCAAAAACACTCAAAGCAAACTCTAACAAACTCTCTAAAAAGTTTCGAACTTAAAATTGATCAGAAGTTTTTGCTCAACATGAATTTGCTCCCGCATTTTTCAATTTTAGTTTTTTTTTTTACCGATTACTAATCTTTTGGTAAATCCCCTGCCATTTCTTATAACACAGGTAACTGTCTCACCTTCCCTGGTACCAAGCTATCGGCACCTGGCTCCTTATCTGGCGCTTCTGGCGCCTTCACGACGTCATCCAAATAGCTGGAGTCGTCGTCAAGTGCCATTTCATCGCCCAAGGCATCGAGCTCGGCTTGCAAATCATCGTCGTCGACCTCAGGCATGCCATAGGTGCGTCCCAGCGCTTCCTGCACTTCGTCGGCCTGCTCGAACATGTCGGCCATGTCGTCTTGAATATCCTGGAATGCATTTACATTAACATTTTTAGTGCATTAACAATATCTTGAAGTTACCTCGATTTGATCGATGTTGATCTTTTTGTATTCGGTCTTCATTTGCTTCACGCCATCCTTCATGGCTGCGACAGTGGCTTGTGTATCCTGTTTGAAGGAAAGAGTCGATTCAATGAACTAAAAACTGAAAAATACCATCAACCTTGAGCGATTGGGCGGCGTAGTTGGCCTGCTCCATATTAAAGGATTGGTTGCGCAGAGATTCGGCTTGTTGTTCATAGCTAGGCAATTAAATAAACATAAATATTTGCTGTAAATGGGCGGGGCAGTTAGTTTCTTACGCCTTCTTTTGCTTCAGCACTCGCAGCGCCTTTTGTTTGACGGAATTCTTAGCAGGACCTTCGCGCATCTTCGACATTTGTTCTCGGTACTTTCTGAGCTCTGTTTCCAGCTTCGCTATCTTCTCCTCAATGTTGGTGGCGCGTGCATCGACCTGCCAATAACAACGAATAGAAATGTCGTCATTTGTTTTTATTTTATTGCCAGATCAGAGAAGAATCTCTTTCTTTGTCTGCTTTGGAACTTACGCCCGCAATGCAGTCGTTGAGACTCGGTCCCGGCTCCTTGGGTTTGCCACGACCAAATAGACGATTCATTTCTGAGTTTGTTTTGTATTGAAACAACAATTAAGAACAAGCGATTTTTCCACAATTTACATTAAGTGTTGTCTGATGACTAATTTTTTCTCGTTTGTAAACAGCTGCTTTGCTAGAGATGCAATGGCTGCCAATAGTTGATATCGACGGCTGCAATCGAATATTCGCCGATAAGTCTTAGGGGTGAGCGCGCAACTGGTGTTGCGAAACGAGCACGAAACTATTGGACACGACACATTGTAAACAATATCTATGATTTTTTTATACGGTTCTCCTTACCATTTATATTAAAACAAAGTAAAAAGGTTTCATAAAAAATAAAAAATTACACAGAGATTTATAGCCTCATATTTGTATTTTCCCTATAACAGCTTTTTCAACAATTTCTTTCTCCAAATACTAACATAACAAATAGGAAGATGTGTTTATATAGAATTGTCTGTTTCTTTGTTTGTAAATATTGCATTCTAATGGTGACGTGGATATTGGTGACTGATTAAGCTAACTACTGTAGTTTTTCCCACCTATGAATATTTTAAATACATGTTTTAATTGTTTTATTTATGAACTATGTGTTTATGTCCTTGTTATTTTTGTTTTCTCCCTTCGTGCGCACGTTCTGTTCGTGCTGCACTAAATGGGCACACGCCCATCTCTAGTTCCAATCGATAGCAGTTGCGCTTACTTAAGAGCTGCGCTCTCGCTCCCTCTCGCACATTCGGCGAGCGCATCTGAAGCGCACAAACTCGGGGCGCATTGTTGGAGTTTTAAAGCGTGTGTTTAGTTTAACTTTAGTTAATTCAGCGATTAACTAATTTACATTTAACAAAGATTAAACGCAGTGCCAATTGTGTTAATGTGTATATGTATGTCTATATGTGTCGCGACTACTCGTAGATGAGTAAAGTGTTTAGCGCAGTGATTGTTTTTTCTTGCGCCTGCAAAAATCGAAGTGAATTGCTATTTTTAAAGAAGCGAAGAAAACGCCAGAAATTAAGGGCAACAATTAAATAATACGACCAGTCGTTAAATCATATTATTATCTACGAATGTGCATATGTATGCAAAACGCGAACAGTGCTTGAAAATTCAATAATTGCACAGTTGGCTCCGTGCGGTGTAAGCGAGAAGGGAAAGAGAAGGAGGAACGGGGCGGCAGCGCCTTGCGTGGCCTTTGACGTCACAGCGCTAGCTGCGCAGTGTTAGATTCAACAACAATGACGTAGTTGGTGCACATTGTTGTTGTTGTTCTGAAGTCAACCATGGATAGTTCCATGTATTATGCCGCAAGAGCGGAAGGCGAGTCAGACATCGAGGTTGCAACGCCAGTCCCCCCCTCCGAAGATGGCGGTGTTTCAATGAACAACTTCTATCCGGCACTGGTGCAATGTTTTGGAATTATCATTTGTGGGTAAGTGGGAGTCGAAATTTATGATTGGCAGCATCAGCCCACAACATTTGTTCGTCACTAACGCAGTTGATCGCCCACCCAGGCACGTTTTATGTGCAGCATATGTTTGGCTATCGCTGGAGTTCAAGGCTATTTCAATTCAACTGCTTGCCGTGTTTTTCGTATTTGTCTCTCTGTTCGTCCACTTTTGCAATTTCTGCTCTTTGTCAGAGCATGCATCGGGGGTTAAAGAGTTCAAGGCAATCATCAGTTGAGTCACTTAGCTCAAGTACAAGGTACCCCTTATAGGCCTGAGGTACATATCCGTTCAGAATTGTCCTTATTTAAAACCAGAATATGTGAAAATGAAATGTTTTTGGACAGTTTTGTTGCCATTACCAGTACTGGAAGGAAAGCCGCCGCAGAATATCGTCTTGAGGAAACTGGAAAAATGGGTCTTCAACACTTAAAATCAAATTGCTTTTGAAAATATTGTTGCCAATATGCTTTTAAGTATCAGATTATTATTGGATTATTCAGAGCTCTAAGTAGCATTAAAATATCGGAAATTTCTTAATTCTACTCAAAAAAGTCATTCGAATAGTTAAGTAGTGCTAAACAATTGGCTGGCATTGTACGAGTATGTCTTATCGCTGGCTACGTGTGCTCAGACAAAGGAATTTTGGACTACTAGTACTAATACAGGTGTCTATTATCTGCAGTGGCTGTGAATATTTACCCCAGCTATCGTATTACTAATATTTGTTGTGAATTGGAACTATTAATCTTTAGTTCATTGCCCGTAAGTTTGCGATTTGAAATTAGTTTCATTGATTCAATTATCTTCCTAAATTTCAAGTGCTGTCTAATCAACAAACATTTGCCTAATCAAAAATCAGCAAAAACTGCCTACTCATTTCTTTTTTGTTTATTCTTGCTTCGTGTGTCGCATGCCGATCAAATATTGTATTTAATTGTTGCTCTGAAAGCAAAACCGTCGCATTTTGCGGCAATGATGTATATAAATAAATTGTTCAAATTGTCAGCGTGCAACAATGAGGGTTATTTTTTCGCTTCTTTTAGAAATTGAAAATTGCAAAATTTTTTACTTCAGCATTAGTTGCCTAATTTCTGCTGCGGTTTCAGTAAAGCAATCGGCATTGCAGTTTCGTTTTTTATTCCCTTGCTATGAGTATCTTAACTACTCGTATAAGAGGCTGAAACGAAAGTAGACTTAGGCAGGGAACTTGAACGATATGTAAGGGAGTTGTCAACAGGAGTATAGCATATATGTATACTTTCTATATCATAGCTATTTGTCTATCTATAGTATAATTACAAAACTTGGCATCTAAGAAATGAAGAGTTCAACGGTCTCATAGTACATGTTCGTGCATACATACATAGGTATATAAATAAAATATATTACTAAAAAAAATGATCTCATATGTAGGGAACTTTATGATTTATGCAAAAGTTTATCTACAAATTAGTCTGCAAAGATTATGGACTTACTATACAGAACTAAACAAATTTAGGATATACTTATCCACATTGCTTTAAAAAATGTATTTAAAACTATAATTCATAATAAAAATGATCAGTAAGTGTATAAAAAATGCAATACTTGAAAGAATTTAATGTTATTTCTTGTTGGTTTTAGTCATTGTATTGTAATTACATTTTTTTTATTGATTTGATTAGCTCTGATTATTCGCTTATGCTGCTTTGCGGTTTGGAACGGGTTTTTCTCAGTTGTTTTTCATTTTCCGTGCGGCATCGGATGTGTGTGTTTTCCAGTTCGTCATTGAACCAAATGTTTTAACAATTCTTTATGCGCTTGAGTTGCAAGCTTCAGCAGGAAAATAACTCGCGCTTCACAAAGTTGTAAAACTGTTCAAACAACCTCTTAAGCAAGCCATTAAAAAAGCAAATCATTTCACCACACATTTTAAACACTTCCCACAGTTGTCAGAAACAATTTTACACACGAGCTGAGTGAAGTTCCATCAAAGGCACAAATGCACGAACTGTAGATTATATTCTAATCATATGCGGATCGAAAAAGTTACGACCAGCCAATTAGCGACAAACGACAAATGACTGCTGGACAGTAAACATAACATCTCACTCCAAATGTAACGCCCCTCTGTCGGGCCTAGCCGATAGTTCCGAAATGCGCGTAATTGCCAATTAGTCGTCGCCGCAATAAGGGAAAGTAAAACGACTTTTATGTAAAGCCAAACAATTACAATTGCCTGGCCAAGTGACCTTCGACTGCTTTGAATGTCTCTACTGATACGGACATGCACACAAACACACTATACTTGTATATTCATATGTACGTAACAAAATCGATTAAATTGTGGCAATAAAGCGCCATATGTAGATTATTATGCAACTTAAATCGCCGATTTGCTGGCCAATTATAAAGCCAAACAATGCGCCTCTCCTCCATTCATCCAACAGATAGTCAGTCTCATTAATACCCGCGCGAGTAACTCGAAAAGTTTGTACAATTCCATGAGAACTTTTTGATTAAAGTTTTGTACTATCGTATGCGTAAAATAATAAATATGGATATTAAATCGTCCATTTTCAATAAATTTATATACATTTAAAAAAAAAACCAAATAAATATCGCCAGCTGGTTCTATATAAACTTTCTTGATATACACGGCTCTTAAGTTAATTCACAATTCTTTCTCATTCTTACCTATTATGGTAATATTCTTATTCGGTACTTTCCAAACTCTTACAATGTAGTCTATCAATTAATATTGATGCGTATGATTTACTATAAATATAAGCTGATAGGCTACCTACCTGATGAGTTTTCCCCTTCCTTCTTCCTTCCGATTGGTGATTGGTACTCTTTGCATTACAAAATAAGCAATTGAATTGATTCCACATTATATATAGCCTATAGGTTAGGTTGAGATCGTCGTAGCGATGCCATACAACATAGAAAGTCTGAAGATTAGATTTTGTTTTTCATTTTAAAATGCCAGGCATCAATATTTAAGAGATAATATTTTAAATAGAACCACATTTATTCTATCGTTATAAAATATATTTCAGATTTTAGAAATTTCCAATTTGAAGTTGCAATAAGTTCAACTATTTTACTATTTTCTAATAAAGTATTTATACTTATTATAGTAAGGTATGTATAGGGCTGGCCGCGTCCTGAAATCATCGCAACTTAAACTCATTAATATCAACCTGTGATTGGTCTTCAATGCTTTGTCTAACTCGTTCTCCATTACTTTTATTTATTTGGGGCTGGAAGATCTTTATTAGTCAACATATTTCCCCTCTCTATTTCTCTATATATTAATCGATTAAGCTTCTGTAGTTGATTGTAAGAAGTCCAAGTCTCCCCCACGTATTAGTAACGATCGTCTGTTACGGCTGAGGTCTGCTAATTTCAATTTCAAATACTTGGCGTGTCTCAAGCAATTGTCATGTTAGTTTTAATTCCAATTCTCGGGCTGCGCTCTGTCAAATAGCGGCGCTCCAAAAATGCGATAATACAAATTAAATGTTACGATTGGATGCTATGCATGCTATTTACATTTTATTGCATTCTCGGATTTTATTGTTATTTAATTTTATTTCTCCCTTTGATTTGTTGTCGTGCCCTTAATTAATCACTTTCCGATGCATTCGCTGCTGAGATCTGTGCACACCGTGTGAAATCGGCTATTGACATTACATTATACTTGCATTAAGCAATGTCTAATCAGCAATTTAAACACATTCAAGGGGCGATGGCAGTTTAAGCTGATAAGCTCCCCGCGTAATTAAAAACTGTATGCATAAGAAAAGCTGCATACCTATTGACTTAATAGATCGCTTAACGCCAAAACCCAATCTAAATAGCTGCAGCTGCACAGATGTTTTACGTACGCGTGACGAACGGCTATTGATTATGGATTTGTTTGCTTTCAAGTTGCAGGCATGGTTTTAAATTTTGTATTGATAGAACTATAGAATTCCTATGTCAGAATTGTTTATGTTTTTGTCATTTCCCATAGATGTATCGTCACGCCTCTCCATTGTTCATATTCTTATGACACAATCCCATTAATCAATAATTGCGGACCTGCATTTTCTGCCTTAGTTTCTGTAGTTTATTTAGTTTAGTTTAGTTGGTTGGATGGTATACCCGCAGCCACAATTTGTATGCATTTATTTTGCGAAAGAATTCTCAACCTTCTGACCAAATTAGTTTTTAAGCACTCTTTTGATGCGACAACGGCTTTTTACTTTTTAAATAATAACATTTAATATTTGTATAATAGGAACCAACAAGTTGAACGAAATTTAAAAATACAAACAATACATACATATAACAAATTAAATGAAGTACGCGACCGAACAAATTATAAACAGCCAATTGAACTAATCGAACTAAACGGCCGATCTAACTAAACTTATTTATAGAGTAGCGACGATTGAATTACAGTTGAATTACATTTAATTAAGAACTTAACTAATTCAGTAAGGAGAACAATATATTAAAACACTTTTGTGCTTTAATTCGAAACTAAAATATACTAAAATGGTTTTGCTTTTTAAGACCACTAATATAGTTTTGACTAAAACTTAAATTACTGAACTTAGTCTTCAAACCAATATGAATAAAGTCACACATACTCGAATATTTGTTTTTTCTTGGACCCCTTGTTGTATTTAGGGTTATCTTTCAATTATAGTTTGCCACTAATTTTTATTTATAATCTTCACAGCCTTCTCAGACTCTGACTTTGTTGCATGTGTCCTTATGATGCTGATAAAGAGCCCCGGTAGCGTCAAGCAGCATTTCTATAATAGATGCTCCACTAATGTGTTTACTTATCGAAACCAGCTGGGAATATTTGCTCTTTTTCTGAAATAGAAGTGAACTTCAACAACACTTGTACAACGAGCCAATTGAGTAAATAAAGGTTTTCGTAGCGTCTAGTTATCATTACTTTTAAAAGACTTCTCAATTTCTTATCAGTTGTGTAATTTTTCCAATAACAAATGTTGCAAATTAAGTTAAAAATTCTGTGCTCGAGTCATAACTTAGGAATGTAAATACTTTGAGACTTTTTTCGTTTCAAAGTTCAAAGTAAAATGTTCTGATAAGTTTATAAAGGGTGTGTTTTGTTTTTATTTGGCTGATTTAAGGAAACTGTGACCTGGAGGTTCAGTTTTTCCTTTTTTGAATCGTTTGTCTGCCTGAAATCTGAGTTTAATCAAAATTAGCTTGTTACATCATATAGCTGGGATATGTGATGAATAAGCTGCAAGCTTAGCTCCATAAATTTAATTTATTATTAACACATTTTAAGCTAATTTTGTATTTGCTTGCAAATATGAGTCTTTGCACTAATCAGTCTTTTTACCAAAACCTTGTTCATTTATTGCATAATCGTATCTCCAATTTGTAAATATTTCAAAGCTTTCTATGGTGCCTCACCATAATCTGAAGCTTCATTAAAATCGGTTAATCCTATCGTGTAGCTGCCATAGAAAAATAATTGGTATAACAATGTTTATTTCAGTTGAAAGGCTGTAGCACGGAATAGTTGGGTGCAGGGCATTCGAGAGTCGGGCTAGCAAGAAAACTTCACGCACCTTAAACGGAAAACAGCACCGTTTAGGTGTCTATTTATTTTTAACTTAAGAGATCAGTTGCGTGAATGTTGACAATTCACATGAAAAAGAACTCTCGGTACTTACCCGAGAACAATAACAACCAGAACGGCAAGAACAATTTTACTTGTACAGTGCAATTAATCTCGTTGACTCACAGTTCGCAGCCCGTGGCAGTTGCTCGACTTAAGGTCAGCCAACTAGTTCGTTTACCGGTTTTGGGAAAGTACGCCAATTTCGTATGCTGATAGACAGAGTGACGCCCCGAAATCGAACTCGACTGAGTTGCAGGTGCGACCATTATAAAGCGACTGTGTAAATTGACTCGTAAATTAGTTACATCGCCAGCAAACACTACAAAAAACCAAAAAAACAAAAAAAAAACAGCTTGGAGCCTGTTGCTGAAGACTGTGAAAATGCAAAACCGGTTCATCTTTTTGCCGACAACCACGACAATCACGTGTCAATCAGCTGATTTATATGCATTCGTGATACATTACATGACAACAATTGCACATACATACATATATCTATGTATGTATGTAGAAGAATATTTTAAACGCATTTATTGTTTTGCCCGCAAGCCCCGTGCAGGCTTCCGCCTTTCCGCACGCACGAATTTGCATTCAAATGGATTGGAGAGGCAGGCGTATAACCTGCCTTTTCCTGTCATTAGCCAGCAGTTCCACGAACTATATAATATATAAAGAGTAGTACGTCAGAGAGGCGCCAGCCCGACTCTTAAATACACTGCAACCATCCTTTTGTTTAAATGAGACACTATAAAACCAAAAAATACTTGATTTTCTTCAGATATCCTAAGATATGCTAAGAAAATAGTGATTTCAAAGTACGGACTGATTTGTCTCGTCATATGTGCACCTATAATATGGGGTCTGGGGTCCAATAACAACATCGCGCTCACCTAACATCTTTAGGCTTCTCCTTGTTGTGCTACAGAGGCTTTTTGATCAGGATCAGATTGGATCTTTGCTTGTTGAGAAACCAAGGCCACACGTTCACAGTATATGTATATATATATATATATATATATATATATATATATAAATTGACTTGCAAATATTTAATAGACAAATTGAACGAATAGATAAAAAAAAAATATATATATATATATATATATGACTTTATATATATATATATATATATATATATATATATATATATATATATATATATATCTATATATATATATATATCTATATATATATATCTATATATATATCTATATATATATCTATATCTATATATATCTCTATATATCTATATATATATATATATATCTATATATATATTTTTTTTTTTTTTTTTATCTATTCGTTCAATTTGTCTATTAAATATTTGCAAGTCAATTTTTTTTTTCTCTAGCTTTTAAAAATTTTATAACTCAAAGTGTATTGAAAAGTCAGGTAAACTCACTCGACATTTTTTCAGAAGTAAAATTATTTACGTTTGGCGCGCCTGTGGGGCTTAGAATTTCTGGAATACCTCTTAAGCATTCGAATACAGGGTTTAATGATAAAGAACTACTTGGATTTAAGTATAGCTATACCTGGGCACTGCTTTAAAGTGTATAATGTCCATATCTTTGCAATATTATCAAGAGCTTTGCCAGCTCTCAACCCGGTTCAGAATCTGCAGTGCGACCAAGTAATACTCATAAACATATAAAATAATAATTATTATTAAAGCTTGTAAAATAAAAAGTTGAAACTAAATTCTTAAATAGCGTCTAAAAGATTGTCTGCAGACAAATTCATCTTATTGTTTTCAATAAATCTTAGAATAAAATAAATTGTTTTCAGTTTTCTACTTTAACTGCAAGAAGGACCCCTCTGCAGTAGAAGCGATCAGCTATCCAGCCACGAAAGGCTTTCTTTATTTGGAACGTACTGCTACCCTTTCTATACATGTATAATATTAATCTGGGCTATCCATCGAGTTCTTATAACTAATCTCCAATTAGTCGAATAGAACTTTGTCATCTTTTTCAATTTTTAGTAGTATAATCCTTCAAGTATATCATCAACTCAAATAACCAATTTCTCTTTCCTTTCTCTCCAGCTATATCGCCGGTCGCTTTAAAATAATCTCAAATGCGGAAACCAAAGGTCTGGGCACATTTGTGGGCACCTTTGCTCTGCCCTCGTTGATATTCCTCTCACTCGTCGAGCTCAACTGGAGCGCCGTCAACTGGAAATTCCTGCTGGCTATGCTAATATCCAAGGCAGTTGTCTTCTTCGCTGTTCTGGTCATCTCCCTGCTTGTGGCGCGTCCCTTGAACTACGCACGAGCCGGACTCTTGGCAATTTTCTGCACGCAGAGTAACGATTTCGCCATTGGTTATCCCATAGGTAAGCCACAGAGGACCCTTTCAGCTGGATTGGTTGGTAATGGGACGTTTGTCTTTACAGTTGTGGCGCTTTATCAGAACGTGCATCCGGAATATGCCTCCTATTTGTATCTGATGGCGCCCATATCGCTGGCCATACTGAATCCCATCGGTCTGGTGCTCATGGAAATCTCGAAAATAATTAAGAACAAGGAAGATGTGGTAAGCATTGAGTTTTGTGCTCTTCTCTGCGCTTCTCAACCACGTAACTTATTCTTTTTTTTGACAGACACGCAATCCTCCCCTCTGTCCGGAAACTTGTCCCGCTGAGCAGATGAACAAGCAACGACGGTGCCTTGGCGAGCGTTCGATACTCGTCCTGAACACGATCAAATCCCTTTTCTATAATCCGTTGCTGCTGATGACACTGTTGGGCGTCGCTGGCGGCTTTCTGTTTCCCAAAGGTCTCCCTGAGATTGTGGCCAGCGTTTTGCGCGTCTTCGGCCAAAGTTTCTCGGCCACAGCGTTGTTTCTGTTGGGCCTAAAGATTGTGGGCGGTGCGGGCGCGGAACGCAAAAGCATGGGCTTTTTGCTGCCTGGCGTCCTTATACTAGTCAAGATGTAGGTTCTTTGTGTTATCCTTAACTGTTCCTTTTTAATGATGACGCTTCGCTTTTAGACTTGTGCTGCCGCTGGTTTCGCGTCAAACTGTCAATATAATGCAGGCGGGCGTTAATTTTAATGATACCACAGAGCTGAGCACTTTCGGATTCCTCTATGGCACCTTTCCAGCGGCCCCGGGTGCTTTTGTGATTGCCACACAGTACAACATTGAAGTGGAACTGGTAAGTAGTATGTACATACGAGGAGCTCCTGATTTAAAGTACACTTCACAAATAGTTTCCCAAACTCTTGGAAAGTCAAAACCAAAATGGATTTTATTACAATGAGGAACTTGTTTTCTTAAAAATGAAATTTTAGATCAAACAAACTCTTTAAATTGTTCGGTTGTTTAGTTCACTGGTTCGTTTAGTTATACATAGAGCATGTCTATTAGTTTCAAGAATATATATACATATGTATATATATCGCCAATATATTCTAACGTACTCCCCCTTTGCTCTTTCAGATCGCACGCAGCATGGTGCTCTGCACTTTCATTTCCGCTCCCCTGATGTTCATCTCAGGTGCGTTTTAATCTTCATCTTCGATATTTCCGCATTACAACTTATTGCTTGCAGCCAAAATGATTTCGCTGACGAATCTGAAACCATTGGACTATCTGCATGAGCTGGATGCCTTCTCCTTTGACATCAGTGTTGCAGGAGCGGCCGCTTGCGTCCTGATGCTGTCCCTGCTGGTGGTGACTAAACGCTTTAGACGCATGCCACAGCGCATCACGTTCTGCCTTGTTTTATCGCAGGTATTATTCGTAAATAAATATGCTGCTGTAATCACAAATCATTTAATATTATGTATCATCCGATAGTTCATGTGCTGCGTGGGCGTCATCCTGTGGTCGAAATTGGAGCACAACGAACGCTGGCCGCTCTATCTGCAATTCTTCCTGTTCAATATTGGTACCTATAGCTCCCGTTTGTGGACCGGCATTCTGGCTATAACGTTGCTCTTTCTGCAATGCCGCAGTCTCTGTTTTGTGCTTAAACTTTGGCCCTATATGGTGTGTTTTGTTATCAGTTAAGATTTGTTTTCCCTATTCTCCCATTCTTATCTGTGTTCTTTTTTCGATTCACAGCTGGCCTTTGCTTGGGGCATTCCAGCAATTATCTCGGGACTGCTGCTTTCCTTCGACGCGAATATCATGTCTGGCGAGAAACACAATCCCAGCTTCCAGTACGGCAATGCACAGGCGGCTATTTCGGTGTTTATGCTCGTCATGTGTTTCATAGGTACTACTATATGATCCAAGTATTATTTGTACAGAGCCTTCAAATGATGAGAAATGCTATGTCTTGAAGAGTTAATTAAATACTTTAGGCTTTCGTTTGTTCTGTGTCAGCATATTCCGTCTAGAGCATAAGTTATGGTGTGTAGATGAAGAAAATGTTGGCCGGAAAAGGCGAATGTAGTGCCTATCGTGTTTTGCAGTGATGCCCATAAAGTTTTCAATCTGAGCTCGTCCCAAAAAAAGTTTTAGAACCAACTGTGAAATCCGTTTTATAATGCTTTTTTATAATCTCTTCCTCCATTTGTAGTTACGGTTGGCTGCTTGGTGATGCATCAGCGCTACAAAAAACGCTACGAGAAATATTTAACCTACACCCGTGAGCTCTCCAATCCCGAGTCCGGTAGGACTTTGAAAACCTTCTTATTAACTGTATAACTAATTCCTATTACCACACAGAATCCTCTGACCTTCACTCCACCATTTCAACGGCCAACTTGCTTAGCAATGCGGATGGCTCGCCCCTGCACCAGAGCGTCCGCACCACTTCCTACTCCTCCTCCTCGGATGATGATGAAATGATACCCACCGCGGCTGGTGCGCGTGCAACGCGCTCCAATGCTGCCGCTGTTGGCTGCGGCTCCGGCAATGGCAACTGTTGCTCAGGGTCTAACGTTACCACACCAACCACTGCAACCACTGTGGTGGTGGACATCGAAGACCTCTTGACACGTCGGCGCAGCACAGCGGCCACCAATCAGAAAAATGTGGAAGCAATTGAGAGGGATCCAGTCAATGAGGAGTAAGTTGTTTTCTATTTTCTATGTGCCTTATTTTAACATTATTTCTTGTCCTCCACAGCGTTCGCATCCACATGTGCAGCACCGCATATAATTGTGGTCCCAGCACCTCGCGTCAGAGCTGCCAGAGCATTATTGAACGCTATGAGGAGCAGACGCGTCGTGGTCTGGAGCCGTTGGAGAATGCGAGTGATTGCGATGAGCAGCAGACCCTGAAGCACACAGTACTGCTCATCATACTGCTTTGCTCGATGTTTGTCGGCTTGGCGGTGTCCATTTGGACGCTGGTGATGGAAGGCATGTCTGGCATCTATCTGGAGTTGAGTTTCCTCGATGCGTTCCTAAATTTCGGACAGGGTCTGATTGTTTTGGCCGTCTTCATAACCGACATTGGCGAGTTGCTGATGCCTTTGGTCAAGTTTTGGCGCAAATTATGGTGAGTTATAAAAGGAAGCGCTGTGCATTCCGGTTAAATACTAATGATGATTATTTATTGCTTCACTAGGTATGGCGCCAATGTTGTCAGTTTGCCGCATTGGTCGAACTTGCGACCGGAGACAAAGCTCATATGCGAACAGTTTCGCAATCATCATCTGGAGAATTGCAAAAAGGACATTTCCAAGGATAGGAGGTGCGTACAATTGACCTCAAACTAAAATCATGAAAAGTGTGCATTCTGTAAAAGAGTTGCTAGAGTTTCATATTCTGTGACTTACTCAAAATAATTTCCCGCAAATATATAACCATGGCTAGGAATTGTTATGAGGCTTTTTCCCTTTTACAAATTCACTTAATTATGTGGAAATCATTACACTTTTGAAATCACGAAAATGTATTGAATGGGCTTACAAAAGGGCTACGGGAACAAAATTAGAGCAGCAGTTTCAACGCAAAACCCGAACCCTTTTTGGAATCAAGTGTATATACCAATGTCGTTTCCGTATAAGTTGATCGAATTCTAAAAGGGGAAGAGGCTTTATAGATTAAGAAATTGTAAATATTTAAACATTTATAGAGAAAGGAGAATAATTAAGTGGGAAAATTTAGAAAATACTAAAATAAAATAATTCCAAATATTAAATAAGAAGAAGAAGCTGGAGTGCCCTATGAAGGAAGAACCACTTTCGCCAAAGCCAAAGCCAATTGAACAATATAATAATCGGGATTTTTAGAAAGAGAGTTGAGATGCTGCAACCCTTCAAGAAAATGCGGGAAATTAAATATTATTTGCTCTAGAATTGGATAAGACTTAAACGGCAGACATAAGGAGGTAGCATAGCGGAATTCACATAAAATAATAAATTGCAATCACAATACGATGTTTTTAATCAGTAGTCTAGAGTGTGAATCGATCAAAAGAAAAATGAAGTCAAAATTCCAGGATGGCTTGAATGCTATATGGGAAGTACACGGCCCTGTTTTTGTTTGCGAATTCGACCAAATTACGCACGAACTAAATTACAGAAATTATTGAATTATTCGGTATGAAAAAAGGAGAATGAATGAACATCCCTCTTCGGAAGAGTTTGAATTTTCAAGCAGAAGGGTTGAGGAGAAGCATAAAAAAGAAGAAGCATCACAACTCTGTGATGTGAGTGAGGAGGACAAAAGGACTTCCCCGAGTATACGAATATGTGCATTAATAATGAAATTTCTTTGATTATTCTTTCAGATGGCGCATACGAGTCTATCGAAAAGTTTTCTATGGCAGCGAGTTCGTCAACTGGCTTATCGAGGTGGGTCTGTCCAAGGATCGCATGGAGGCCGTGCACTATGCTCGTCATCTGGTCGACGGCCGTGTCCTGCGCCACATTAACAATGTCTATCATTTCGAGGATAAGCAGCTGCTCTACAACTTCTGTAGTCGCATCTAGACGCCTAAACTTAACTCGTTAGTTCGTTTATGTTACAAAAAAGGATTTGTAATTAGTGTGCTGTGATTGTCTGAAGGTTGGCGAGACACACACACACATGCAGACAGCCATTTGTATGTGTGTGTGAGAGGTGTGTTTAGTTGTTGATATGTATAGCGAATTGTCTAGTTTTTAAGCAAGCAAAGTACCTACATATATATACAGACATATATCTTATTTAAATAATTGACTAGCTAAGTAGAATCTGCTGTGAATTAGACATTCTTGATGGAGTTGTGCTTTTTAGTTCAATTATTCGCAAAAAGCTCGTGTGTACCGTAGGTCTTATAAAAGGGAAATATTAAAACAATTTTCGGTTAAAATAGTGATATTTGATGTTATGGTTAACGAAAATAACTGAATTGTTAAGCAGAGTGTAAGAGTAAATGAAGGTTATGGTCACACAGGAAAATAATTTGCATAAAATATGTCTTAAATAAGTTTGTTTTATAACATCTCAGAAGACTGTGATTATTTAAAACCATTTCTTTAGATTGAAATGGCATGTGCATGTGGGACCATACCTTTAGGCAACGGCATTCATCAGGCATTCAAGTAATTTTCATACTAATTTATGCTTACAAAAAAGATTTGTTGCAGCAGCTGGATGTCACTAAAAACTCTTATTGGATCATCCAAATAATTTGCACACAAATTAGTTAACAGACATTTTATACCAAATGAGTTTATTTTATCAAATCAATCAAATTTTATTCTTGACCTATGTGTGCAAACTATTTATTTTAGAAGTTAGCTTTGAAAAATATAAATTTAAAATGGAGTTACATCGAAAAGTGTTTGTGCGAAAATTATTTGCCTGTCTGACCCTAGCTTAATGAAGAAGCGAATCTAAAAAGCACAACTCGAATTCTCGATAAATGTGTCCAAAGTGTGGAGCCATTGTGCAATAATAATGTGCTAGATTTTAAGTGAACATGTTTCCTATCAGTTTCTAGACTTAAACAACGACATTTGCTTTAAAGCAGCGATGCAACATTTTGTCACAAAGCGTCGCAAATTCATGAATGAATTCATGTTTTTGAGCTTCGCATACGCGTTAGAGAAGTAGAAAATAATTTAGTCAAGTGTCAGAAATACTGTGCACAAAATGTTTCCACCAGAAACAGCTTAACGAATATCCAATAAATATATATTCTATATATACAGGTATATACATACATATATGTATATACATACCTCATAAAAGGCGCCTACAAATTTGCAATGCATTTGTGTCGTCCCTCCGAATTGTTTCGAATTTGTCTAGTCTGCGATCTGCTAGAAGCAATTTGCATTTTTATTTATTTATGCAGCGCGCTTCTGTTGTTGTCGTTTGCTAAAGTCAATATAGTCAATATATTGTTGTTATTGTTCAGTTGTTCAATTCAATTGCTCGGCCCGCCAAAACAAATTCTTCACATTAATGCGCATACGAGCTGCTATTTATGTGTGTACTTTGCGGGCTGCGTGCTTTCCATAACAATTTCATAAATTCAATTACTTGTTTTCGGCCAGAAGTGTTGACCATATTTGAGACACACGCGTCTATTTATTGCGAGTATCTTATTTAATATCTTTTTTTTGCAATTTTTTCATTGATTAATTGAGATTGTCGGCCGGCAATTGTTATGTGTGCGGCTTAACTTGGCAAATTGTTTTCTGTGCACAATTTTGGCTGCGTTTTTTGTCTTTCTCGAGTGCGCAGTACGCGACTAACACAAAACAATAACAATCCAAAAGATACGCGCATAAATCTTCGGGACGCAGCTGCTGCAACGCCGTCGAGCCGTCGAAGAGGCTCCAGACTCTGGTTTGTTATGCAAAGCATGGCTTGCCTTCAATGCCTGCTATTTGTCACCTATGCAACTGGATGGCTGGCTGCTTGAAGAGTTGGACTCTGCCTCCTCCACAGTGCCTGCAAATAGTACGCCCACTGTGCACTGCACTCTTCTGCTGATAAGAGTTACGTAGAAGCTTTGAGTTCTTTTATACGTATAGTGTTTTATATGCATTTCATTCCAGAACCAATGCTCGCTCGTCTCTCATGCAATGACGTCGGCGCCCAGCTATCGAAACGTATGCAGTTCACGTTGTCTTCGGATGCGTCTGGAATATGCCGCTGAGGCGACACCAGTTGTGTGCGTTTTTAATCACTCTGTGCCGGCTTCACGATGTTGACTTTGATTTTTAAAGTTCGTCGCAAAATCAGCTTACGATGCAGGTAAGCCACGTTTTAAGCGCACCCCACCATATTCGTATTCGTAGCTACTTACTATAAACGAGTGTGTGCAAGCCTCGAGTCTAATTAAGAGGCTTTTCCGTTTCCGAGTTCGCAACAATTATTCCGGGTTCGCATTCTGCTCATTTTTATGATAATATGATAATTTCCCCCCACTTTTATAGAAATTTGCCTTAATCTGCGGCGTAAGAACTATCTGAACCATCAGAATAGCTTTGTAACTGCTGATTTCTCAATTCAATTATTGTTCCAATAGTTTTGATTTTTACTTAATCTTTTTATGTAAGACATATTTACTCGTATACTATGTACAAAATATTGAAGCTTCTCATCAAAACATAAACTTATCGAAATGAAGAATCAAAAAGAAGCTTCGACCAGCTGTTTGAACGATTTGTAATTGTTTTAGATTCGGTGTGAATACAATAAAATCCAATTAAAAAAAAAAACTATTTCCAAATTATAAAGCGTCGGAATTTAATTACCTTTTGATGGTAAAAGCTGATTTAGTTAACAGACAAGCTTGTAATATCGTTTATACATCTGCTCAGAAAAACAAAAGCCAACTTACTGCTTCAAAAGGTGTTATGATTTCGATCTAACAGAGCCCTTTAAGCAGTCCATAATCAATTATATCGCTTGTAAAATCAAATAACTTTTTTATACTCTGTACATGAAATGTACAAGAGTATATTAGGTTTGCGGGAGCTGAAAAATGTAACAGGCAGAAGGAGGCGTGGCAGACCCCACAAAGTATATATATTATTGATCAGCGTGACAAGACGAGTCGATCTAGCCCTGTCTGTCTGTCTGTCCGTCTGTCTGTCCGTCCGTATGAACACCTGGATCTCAGAGACTATAAGAGATAGAGACACCAAATTTTGCACAAATATGCGTTATGTGTGTATTCTATACGAGTTTGTTTTATTTTTTTGATTTTCCCCCCACTTCCCCCCTATGGGGGTTTTCCCGATTTTCTGCTGCTGCAGCGCTGCTCAAGCGCTGCCCGCGGCTGTTGTTGATGTTGCTGTTTGGTTGACTGCGAAAATGCTTACACAGACACGAATAGATGCGCATAGGCATACATACACTCACACAGACGCAATTGCTATGTAAATGTGCAATTATACACCCTTTACGAGAGTTCGAATACCGAGAAAGGTAAAATCGATCCAATTTTTTTAAATTTTCTTTTTTTTCTAGTAAATTTTTTTAATTAGTAAACATATGTACAGAGTATTTCAAAGTCGGGACACCCGACTTTAGCTTTTTTTACTTGTTTTTAGAGAAAATTTGCAGGTTCGGCTGTCTTCTGAACAGATTTAATTAATTTCAAATATTGAATATTGGGATCGAATCAAAAGTATACATACTTCAAAGGAGTAACCTCAATTCGGAAGTCTTTATTCATAGTCTGATGTGAATCGGGCTCTTTGTTGATTTATTCTGATTCATAGGGCATCGATATTTGCTATTACATGTCCACATGCAACTGAGTAATAGGAAAATATAATATTTATGTAGAAAACGAATCACTTCTGTGAAATCATAAGACAACCTTGAGCAATTATTCTAATGTGTGTTTCCATTGTTATATTTTTGGGCAGCCCAACTGACCCGTCCCCCTTCATATACCCGTACATACCATTCTATAATGCCAGAATGCAGTTTGCTTTTATGAAGACTATGATTAAATGCAAGTTTACAGCGCGCAATGTAAATATTTTGATGGCCTTCCTTCAAGTTCGTGGCTCACTGCCAACAATTCTTTTTATCTTGTTTACTTTTCAATCATATACCGAACTAATGTTTATAAAGCCGACAGTTTGTGACTAATTGTAGATGTTAGAGAGCCAATAAGGTGTTGCACTCGGAAATGTCATTTCATTCAACCCGAACGATATCAGCACCTTGATACGCCTATTTAAAGTAATGCTCTTCTTCCTCCTATTTTTACACTTGCTCATTTTGTTCTATAGGTCGTTATCGCTTCTATTATTCTTTAATTATGTATAATTGCAACCGAAACTAGAAGCCCACTTTGTACTGTTTATCAAAATCCCCCTTTTAAATGTCTATATCTATCTAAAATTAGATAGTTAGGTAATCCCTTACCTATATGGCGTATATACGTTTTATAAACTCGTCTAGGGGTATAAAATACTCGTCTAGCGGCCCTTATCTCGACACACTCAACACGCTTTAAAGTGGCATAGCACATTCACAGAATTAGACGCTTCGTCATTTGGGGCCAACAGGGCTGAACAGAACTCAAAACAATCCGGAGTACGAGTATCTGGGTATTCGTATATACATACAAGTACATACTCGTACATATGTTTGTGGCGTGTTCCCACTCAATCCCCAAACCTGCACCTGTACGGATCGGGGGCAGAAACACAATTCAAGCACTTTATGAAGCAGCCTACTTTGCATTCGGGAGAACAAAAGTAAATGCTATCATTTATTAATTTAATTTGGTGGAATTGTTGCCTTCACTCTCCGCTCTGGAGGCCAACAACCTCTTCAACCTAACTAGGCTGACAACTAGAGATGGACGAAACCGTGATTACATAGTCACTGCGAATGTGTGGATATTAGTCATTCGGAATGGCTTCGGACGATTTCTTATCGACACTTTATTGAACCTGATTTATAGACCCACCATTATTCATTTATAAACAAAGGCATTATGTAGGTAGTCGGGCGACATCGTATGGTGCACATGCTAGCAAAGAACCAGGTTCTTGTGTCCTACTATGCTATGTAGGTACACTTTTCAGAGATACCCGTATAAGGAGGTAATACTAAAGCAGATCGTCTCATTTTAAAAAGGCCATAAAATAAAGTACTTCCAATCATTGCAGTCTCCAATTTTTAAAAAGTACTTTTTTACTTTTTATTACACTTATCCCACTCTTAAAGGGGGGTTTCTTGTTGGGATTTTTGTGTGTGTTCTCAATTCAAAATGCAAATTCTAGATAGCCGCATTTGCAGTTAAACATGACTGTACTGCCAATTATTTAAGTTATGCAACCTTGGTTTCGATATAGATTCGTACACTTTTTTTCAATTTTAGATACAATAAGTAATACTAGAAAACGGATTCCCTTTAATTTTGAACTACTTTTGTATGTTTAAGAACGAAGTATCTACTTGTATTTGCTCAAAAAACTTGCCGCTGTTATTTTGATTACAAGAAGGGGAAACTCTATACTTAAATATAGTTTTCTTCTACAAATAACGTCTTTGGAATGCGCTTTTCTAAATTGTAAAATAACAGAAATTTGCGTGTGAACTTCATAGATTAGCACACAAATTTATATGAAATTATTTTTGTCAATTATTTTTGTATGCACATTTCCATCCGTCCGTCTGTATGAACACCAAGAGCTAGTAAACCATAACAGCTAGGGGCACCAAACTTGGTATGTGGACAAGTCTTATGCATATGCAGAGCAAGTTTATTACACTCCAAGAATAACCCCAACGATCGGTTCAAAAATCCCTTGTAAGTATGAGTATAACCATTTTTTATTAACATAACTTGTTTTTTATAAGTTTTGTAGTTTTATGAAAATCGGCGCAATATATCAGAGAACGATCAGTGTAGAATTCGCAGATTTTTAAGCCCATTAAGAGATCGTAAGCAGCTTAATCTGAACTCTTATTATAGCCGCTGCACTTTATCATATAAAATTTACGACAGTCATTGATCCATTCATGCAGCTGATTGGATCAATGACTGTCGTGAATTTCTTACGAAAGGTTTGTCGACAAATTGCAAAAAGAAATCATTTCCTATGAAAGTTGGGCTCTTTCACTTATTTAAGAAACGAAAGCTGCGGTCACGCCCATGACTCCTGACTCTGACTTGACTCGGCTGTGACAAAGTCACCTCAATAACTATTCTATAGAATGAGCGCCCACGCAACGTGACAAAAACCCATTTTTTATGTGCCTCGCTCTCATCATAACGGGGAGCAGAGACACAAAGTGGCGGACGAGAAAAAATATGACTGCCATCGCATTAGGCGGCAATTCAACCCAATTTCAGACACACAATTAATAGACGCACCAAAAGAAAAAAAGGATATGAAGGGATACAAATTCTGAGAAATGTAGTTGTGCGTGCCACAAACACAAACAAGACTTATAGTGGATGTGTGGGCGTGTTTGTGTGTGTGTGTGTGTGGTCCCAGCAAATTAACTAAAAATAGTTGCCTTATTGTAGTGCGTATGCGTGTGTGTGTGTGTGTGTTTGTGACACCACATGATGTCCTTAGGATGTCCTCGAGCAGCCATGAACTTCAGACGGCCCCAATTCTCGGCTGCATTTGGTTCGATTCGGCGTTAAGCATACGCCACGTATGACATCCGCCTACCCTATACGGCCCATACGATGCCATGAAGTCTATGTGTGTGTGTGTGCGTGTGAGTGTGTGTGTGAGCGTGGGTGTTCGCGCGTCGACTTCCATCAATACTGTTCTGGGTTTTGCATAATTTGGCATTTAGAATGCATTCTGCATTTCAGATGCAGTTCGCCAGCAGCTTTGATCTTGCGAATATATGTACTCGTACATGCTATATAGTCGGAATATTATAAATTTTGTAGTCGATTAAGCGCTTTTCCTTGGAATATTTCAAACTACACTATTTACATATGAGTATTTAAGCATTTTAATTGTTGAGCAAAAAGCAAAACAAAAACTCATAAACCCACAATTAATAACGAATATAAAAACGGGAAATATAAAGTTGCCGCCACCCAGCTGCTCGTGTACGGGCCGTCGATAAAGCGGAAAAAGAAGAAGAATGAGAGGCAGGCACACTATCCGCATACCAAAAGCAACCAGCCACCACCCACCAACCACCAACCACTCAACCACTACAGGCGCCCAAAGAATTCATTGAATAAATTCATTCTTCTTCTTAAGTTCTGAATTGGTCTTTCTGGCAAACCTTTTTCGCATTTTAATTGCAAATTAGATCTCAACAGTATCGGTTGACATTAAATTTATACAGTTTCTTTATGATAGGTGGACGCATTAACATATAATTGTTACGAAACGGCAGTCTCAACCCAAAACTTCCTTAAATATCCATAATAGTTTTAATGTACGCTTTGTCGGGCTGTACATCGTCTTGCCTTCGACTATGTATGTATTTTCAATCACATTTTAAATTCGTTATAGAAAACATTCGCAAATAAATCATGGCTTATACATAAATTGAAAGGCGCATGCAATGGGCTTGTCTCGGGTTCAGATACAACTCTCTACAGTAGAGCTTTCCAACTATTCAGGATGAAAAACATCAAAACATTAAAGGGTATACTAGAAATTTATGAGACAGGCAGAAGGAGTCGCGTCAGACCTCATGTTTTTTTACATACTATGAACTATGTCCGTGACATTGTCCGGCTGTATAAGCCCCCACCACTTCTGGGTGCTATTTATGGGCTTTTTTATTATGGATGCTTAAAATATGTGTAGTAATCACTTTATTTGAAAACCCTTTCAATGCAATCCGTTGTAATTAAAATGATTAAGAAAAGACAAATAGAAATTTCTTGAATTGACATTGAAGAAATGATGATGTTCTCTGTTTCGCAATACTTCCGAATTTCCAGCAGATGTTTTGGAATTGTGTAAATGCTGTCTGCGGCTCTTCATCATTACTCAAAATATACTCGTTTGAGCATTTTCCAAATGATTGGTTTTTGTCGTTTCGGAATCTTTGGTATTTATAGGCATTGTGTGGAGGAGTGTAGATTTCTGGTATTTTTAAATATTTTTCTCTTGTCTTAGTCTGCCTGTATGATTCCAATATTCTCGAAATTGTCAATTCGGAAATTCGAAATAGCTTGAGGTTAAAGAACCTTCTTAGAATTGGAAGAAGATATTGGGAAAATGCGGGCGTGTTATGCTTGTGAATAATAGAAACCAGTTGAAATGTGCGTGATCGTGAAGGCATTTTTTTTTCAAGCAAACTCCTCTATACATCTATAATATATCCTGCAATGCTAGTCCTGAAGCATACTTTAAAAAAAAAACGTTAAACTTTGGGCTAGAAGTTGAGCCACATAAATTTCTAATTTGTTGGAGAAATTTTCAGAAATGCTAACCATTCAGATCTTTGCACAGACAACTCCCGAGCTGATTCAATTATTCAAGAGAGGATTAAACTGTGTGTGTGTGTGTGAGAGAGAGAGAGAGAGAGAGAGAGAGAGAGAGAAGGACATTAGCTCAGTAACTCCTATGATTAACTTTGCTTTATTGCGTTATTTCCGATTGTAATCCCCAAACCGCTGGCACTTTCTGGTAATCCTAGGATCTCTTGGATAAAGAGATTCACCCTTTGTGAAGTTAAAACTATATGTGTACGAGAGAGAGGGAGAGATCTTGCGATCTTACGCTCCCAAAATTCAGTAACTCTTTGATTGTTTTTGCCTTTGTGAGAAGTCGTTTTTCTGCGCAAGGATATAAGTTAAGAAGCATGGAAAGGCATGTTGTAGCTGAGCATGCTTTTGCCACTGTTTAGCATCGATTTAGGCACAAATCTCTTCATGTTTTCTCTGTGGATCAATTTTCACCTCCCTTATTGCCAATTTTGAACCACTGTGCGTTGGCGACGTCGATGCCGATGCCGATGCCGGGCGTCAAACGGTGTGCCAACTGTTGAATCGACAAGAAACTCATTTCGTAGGCACTACCCCCACCCCCAAGTCAACGCAAATGCCGATGCCGACAACGACGACGACGATGGCGATGGCGACGACGACGTCGAAGTCGGCAGCAGCAGTGGCAGCAGCAGCAGCGACAGCGACGGCGACAACAGCTTTCGGTAGGCTTTGCGCTTCATTCTAGAACGACAGCTCGCTGGAAACGTTGCTCGACACGCATCCCGACACAGAGTCTCCAGTCTGTTAAGAGTGTTGGCGCGAGTTTTTGGCAAACACGCATATTTTCGAAAGCCAAATAGAGTGCCAAACGGTGTTTGGAAAATATTCGAAATAATTCGGCGCGCTTCAAAGGCTAGAAACAAGTTTTTCTGTTTTCTTACTTTCCGAATAGTGCTGGTGTTGGTGTTGGTGCTGGCTTTGGTTTTGGTGGTCAGTGCGAACACTTGTGTGTGTGTGTGGAAATGTGTTTTCATTGGAACTAAGCGCAATTTTTATTAATTACGCTAAAACCGAGAGAGAGAGCGAGAGAGAGAGAGAGAGACAGCGATAGAGAAATACTTAGCATACATTCTGATTGACTGATTGACTGATTGACTGACTGAGTGACTGGCTGACTGACAGTCGTGATGGCAGCATCCGTAACACCTGTGGACTTCTTGCTCAGCACAGTCAGCACGCTCGGCCAGGCAGCGGCTGGGGAGGTGGGGCGCAGCAGCAAGAGTCCTGAGGAGCTGTACGCGAAGAAGAAGCGTCTGATTCTCAGCTGCGTTGTGATGGTGTTGGGCGTGATTGGCAACTCATTAGCTTTGATCATTTTGGCGCGCAAGAAGCACAACAAGTACAGCAAATACACGTTAATGTTGCGGTAAGTGTGAACAGCAAATTAGGCTAAGAGACAAACCAACGCAGACACAAAGCTGTGTTCAAAGTTTGCAGCAAACTTGCCGCTCGAGTTCATGGCAGTTGTTTGAAGTTTGTTCAACTTGCGGCTCAGCCAACAGTGCAGCATGTATGTAAATTTACATACACATATGTATGTATGTATGTATATAATTAATGTATTTATGTGCGGGTCTGATTTGCATTTCTGAATGTTTCTAGTTGTCGCCTTAATGAGCCAAACACTCAATTGCGCTTTACTTGCCAACTTACAAACATACACACATATATACCCATATATATGTACATACATACTATATCTTATCAACACTATTTTATTCAATTTTTGCTGCCGCTCATGAATGCCATGTGTTTGTGCACTTTTCCATACCCAGAGTCTGTTTTAATGCCACTGCCTTAATAACAATATGTATTCGACTTATCAGCCACACAATAGGCCAGTGGCCAATGGCAGGCTCGTGCACACAAAGCCAGCATAAGTTTTGATTGCTTTGATAAATAGATAATATTTGCAATAGTTGGCAACAGCTTGATTGCTCTCAACAGAAACCGCAATAGCAGCAAAGCCTTTAAATATTTGTTGATAAGGGTCGAAAGGCGGGTCGGGATCCCCAAAGTTTTCTTTGCTTGCTACTCAACGAACTTAACGAACTCGTCAGAAATAGCATTTAAATATCATAGCCGCCCCTCAACTGACAGCTCTTCAATCTGCTTAGGTCTTTTCTTGATCTTCCCTTATGGTAAAAGGGGAAATGCTTAATAACTTTGCCTTTGCTCTCCAAACAAATAATACATCACATTTGCTTTAGTATTTGAATTAGTTAAGCACACTAAAAAGTTCACTTTACACTAAGTAGGGCCGCCCCTAATCCATAATTTAACCACATATTTGATATTTTTATATCCCGAAGTTGAAGAGGTTATCCAAGAATGTTCAAATTAAAGAAGAAGGCGTGGCAAGCAATCGTACATATAAAGACATATTTATCTGTTCATCTATATAAGCCCCGCAAATTTTTGAACCATAACAGCTAATGATATCGAACGCAATTTTATTACAAACCATTGTTTTTATATAACTGCCATGGGAATAGCCATTAGTTGGACAACTTCTTTGTATAAAAAGATATCTCTCAAGCAAATTAAATTGATAAGTTTTCCTTCATTATGTACATTCAAAAGTTCTGTAAAATCTGTTCATCAATTAGCTGCTATAGGAGCGATCGGTGCAGAAATCAATCCAAGTCCCACAAACTTGTTTGTTTTTTACGACATCGTAAAGAAAATGTATATAAGTAGGAAAATTTGACTGTTAAGAAATTAGAGTCTGAATTCATGACAAAGGTACTCAATATAAATATTTTAAATTATTGAAAATACTCGTACAAGATTTATTTATTAGAAAGCATAATTTGTCAAGCTATTTTGTATTTCCAAACTAAAAGAGGAAAGCCTAAAACTTGCTTTTAAAGTAAAGCCAACAAAGCATTAGTTGTCATTAATGAGTAAATAAAATTTTGAGAAAATCATCAAAATAAATAAATATTAATCATACGCCCCGTTGTAATATTTTCTACGAATTATTTTTCAGTGATATGATTATAAATTATATGCAGAAATGCATTTGTAATCGTTTAAAAAGCCAACCATGATGATAATTAATTTTTATTTGTACATATTACACATACGCCGCATTGCGCACACCCAGATAAACATTAAAGAAAACACTTTATAAAACGATAAAGTAATTCAAATTCCAAAGTGTCTTTAAATGCGAATTGAATTATTAATTAATATTAATGGCAAGTGGTCTAACTTTAGAACATCATGAGGCACTTTAGAATACTCAGAAATGGCAACTTTTATTTTATTTATGATCTACTATATTATTGATTATATTGAGACAGCATACAAAACTTGGAGTACCACATTTTATTAAGCAGAAGGATTATCGAACTAAGAGTGTTTTTTGCACCGATTAATCCTATAGTGGCTATATAAAATATGCATAAGACAAGCCTATATTCAAGTGTGGTCCCCCTTGCTTTAATGTTTCAAACGTATTCTGTGCGGATCTATCGATTCGCCTCATTATTTTAATTACATATTGGAGTCAGAAAGCTAAAAATACGTTGTAATAATGCTGATAAAGTACGAGATTAAAACAAATTACATATTATTTATAGGACTTATTGTTGAAGAAGAGCTTAGAGATACATATGCTCAATCATTTTGTAGATTAGTATTTCGTTTGAGAGGAGTCAGCTCTACCAGCTTTAATGTTTAGTTCGCTCATCTGGAATAGGCTATAATGTACAAAAATATGCCCTTATTTTCTATAATATTCTTTTATCTTTAACCCTATACATTCTTGATCAGTGTCAGTCCATCTGCACGCGAGACTCTTGGAAAACATAAGAGCTGGGATAACCAAAGCTGGTATGCATTTTCCCGTAAGCCCTCAAGTATAGTAACCATGGATTTATCTATGCCTCTCCCTCTGTGTGTATGTGTGTGTGTGTGTTTGTATATGAAAAGAGCATGTAATTAAGTTCACATTTCAGAGACGAATTGACGCTCGTGGCGCATCAATTTTCAGTGATTCGAGTTTGACAAGCGCCTGAATTGATTTCAATTTGTCAAGTAGTGCGTGTGCGTGTGCGTGTGTGGGGCATAAATTATAAAACAGAGCACGCGCCTGCAACTCGAGCTGAGTCTGAGCACACGCCGCAGCAGGGCCGGAACGGCGTGGCAGGCAGCGTAAAAGTATCCTTTAACTTGGCTTGCTGAGCAGGAAATTAGGCGATGTGCAGCGAAGTGTGTGCGCGTGTGTGTGCGCGTGAGTGTGGTTGACAAACAATTTCACAGTGTTGCCTTTGAACTCTTTAATGTGATTGATGAGTGTGTGTAACGATTGACGCTTATGGAGTGTGGCAGTTGATTCGAAGCGCTCCTCAATCTCAAGGCATCTGTCAGCAACTTTTCGGTCTAATGGCGCACACGCGTCAAATCAAATAATCAAACAATCGGCAAATCACAGAAATGTTGCATTACCCACTCAAGAACCCAAATACCCGTACACCCCTAGCATCCCAAATTGCGCAATACATACGCTGGCAATAAAGTACACACATATATATATATATATATGTGTGTGTGTATACCTACCTATATTCTTATGTACTCGCATACTCGCCCGCCCGTACCTTTAAGGCATTCATTTCATTTTAAAATTCATAATGCGCGCCATAAAAATAACAATGATATTGCCTTTTTTGTTATACCCTCAGCCATGGGCGTAGCCAGGGTCCGTTTTGGGGGGGAGGGGATATATTAGTTTAGACAATATACTCGTGTGTACTAAACGCGCATAAGGTACATCTTTGGAACACAACACGATCTCTTTATTCTCGTTGAATTGCAAAAATAAGCGGCGACTGGCATACTTGTAAATGAATGAAAGTAATAGCTCAGATGGGGAAATGGGAACCAATCATAAAACTAATAATGCAGTTCCCGCCATTATTTGTGATTCATTTAAATTTTAAGACGACTATTCGTTCATCATGTAGGAAAGTATGAAATACAAGTTTCAAGTTTTTGAATAGTCGTTACTACTTAAGAGTAGTTATATTGGTTGTTAAGAATATGTTAGTGTATTTCACAATCGAATATTCCCGTTCGTTGTTTTCGTAGGTTGAGGCAGTCGCAGAACAGTTTAATGTACGCAGAACTGTTTTGAGGACTAATGAATTATTGTTTATAAAAAAATTTATGGCACCATAAATCGTATTTGTAATTAACGGCTTTACAGCAACTCATGGAATTTCTATTTCCATCGATCGTAAACGATTTGAAACGTCAATACCTTTTCCGAAACCGAATGCATATAAATATTGCTTTTATTAATTCCAAATAGGTGAAACAAATGGTTATCTTCAGAGCCTGCAGTTAGGAAAACTCATCTATCTAGCCACCTTTAACCGGACAAAAAATGTCTCTTGCATTGGCGATTTGGCGATATTTAGGAACACTATTTCAATTTATATATTCTTTATCTAAAATTCCTCCCTTTTGGTTATCTTAACATTATTTTTTCAAATTTACACTTACATATACAAAGTGTTCGATGGAAATGTTATAAATATAGAAGAATAGTGTGTTCTTTACAAAAAACGGATTAATCCTTCCTAATTCGCCTTAGAGTCTATTTTAATTTATTATATTTCATTTTTTTTTTTTTTTTTTTTTTTTTTTTTTTTATTTAATCAAAGCATTGAAGCCGTGCATTCAGATTAGCACCTTAACAATACATTTTTACAAATATAAAATAGCCCAACTTATGGAAATTAATATAGAAAACTAGAATTATAGGAATAATTTATTATTTTTAACCGACTTCAAAAAGGGAGGCGGTTACCAAATATTTTATTTTGAGTGACAGAGAAACTCCGGTCGCTACGAGTATATGAGCTATTTTTTAGTACCTGTTTCGCTCAACCCCATGATTAAGGCTCACTTGTCTGCTGTAAAATACATTTCACATGGTATTTTGAGGTCAAATCGACATTTCTTTTGAGTATCCATTCGGTTCAAAATCGGCTTACTTCCTATTTTTTAATTCATGTTTTTTTCTTATTTAATGGAAAAACATTAACTTAGTATCACGCTGGTCGTCAAATGCACTCTAATCGCTGTTTGCACATACAATACATATATGTATGTGCTAATTTCCTAAGACAATCAAATCATTCCTGAGAAGTCACCTATTTAAAAATGTGATGGCCTTAGTTTCAGGCAGATTCTCAGCATAATAATAAAATTGTATGTTTGTTAAAAAAGAAGAATATGCGCTCTGAAAATAAATTACAACAACATTACAATTAAGAATTAGAGAAATGCAAACAGTTATGGACACATACTTCCTTCTTCCCCTGAGGTGTACGGGTTCTGTATGAAATGCGGATTAATTGCTCAACTGATTAAAGCGATCACCTCTTTCAAAATGAAATTTCATTAAATCATGCTTGTGCGCCTTCTTCAATATTATTTTTGTAATTATTAGCCGTTAATGTTAATGTTAAGAATGTTTTAGCATTTGAACAACCCAAATGTTTAGTTTAACTTATTTGCCAGTACTTGTGTCCGCAACTTATATTGTATTACAAGTATGTATATTGTATGCCCAAATCATTTGATTTTGTTGAATGACACATTTCAGCCAAAATATGGCCATAAAAGCTCTCAAGCACTTGGCTTTTCAGCCGACATTTGTCAAAGCCTTAGCCTTAGCGTAATGCTCTGAGGCCGCATACCCATAACAACGCATTTAACGCACAATCGATAAGCAATATTTATGTGACATCATGAAACGCGTTTATGGCGTGGAAAACTTTAATTACCTTATTTACGAGAACCGGCACAGCTTCCTTCCTACCATCGTAGGCACGTCCCGGCCTAATTGTGACAGACGGAACGAGTCCACAAATCCACAACCCACGCGTGCTGGCCCCAAACTCTCATTGAGCTAATTTATGGGTCCATTGATCGCTTAGCTAACACCCCGCCCCCATATTCGTTCTTTGCAGCTGCTTGGCCACAAACAACTTGCTGGGTCTGCTGGGGATGCTAAGCACTACCCTTCTCAGGGTTAACTTATCCAAGGAGGTGCTGCAATCCTTTGTACGTCTGGACTGCTTCGGCTACTTGCTGTTTCGTTTCTTTGGAGTCAGTTCCGGGTGCATAGCCGCCGTCATGGCTGCCGAACGCTGGATGGCTTTGGCGCGCCCCTTTATCTATCACAAGGTGAGTATTTATATCTGATAAATAGAGGACCTGTACGGGACATAACACCCGCATTTTATTGCTTACAGCACATTACCTATGAACTGGTTCGCAAAACGATCTACTCACTCATAGGGGTCGCCATAATCGTCACCTTCATGCCCCTCTTCGGCTTTGGCGCCTACATTGATGATTCGAATCCCAACGAAATGAAGTGTCTGCGCTATCGCGATGCCGATGGCTATGTCAACAAGGCCTATGCCATAATGTTTATGATTTTCGGTGAGTTCAAAACACCTTTCCCCTAATGGAAATATAGTATGGCTTAGTTTTGCGATTCCTGAGACGGTCTTATCCGTAATTTACTCGTATATTTATACCCTGTACCCGTAGGGTAAAAAGGGTATATTAGGTTTGTGCAAAGTATGTAACATACAGAAGGAAGCATCTCCGACCCCATAAAGTATATATATTCTTGATCAGCATGACGAGAGAAATCGATCTAGACATGTCCGTCCGTCTGTCCGTCCGTCTGGATGAACGCGAGGATCTCAGAAACTATAAAAGCTAGAATAACCAAAGTTGGCATCCAGATTCTCCTAGGTCCGAGTAAGGACGAGTTTATTTTATTTTTTTTAATTTTCCCCCCCTTCCCCCGCTTCAGAATTTCGTCAATAGCGTCCACATTTCAAATGCTACCTAAACCAAACTTTGCACACATAATTTATATATAATTGTCTACTGTTGTTAAAAATTGTTTATTCAATTCGGTCAATTCTAAATAAAGTTATTAGCAAAACAAATTCTCGCCAGTACAACCCCCCCAAACTGCAGCAACAAGTTCGCTCTTCTTCTTCCTCTTTTTGCTGCTGCTATGGGCGCATATAACTCGGTGACGGAAGTTTACCTGGGTACAGGGTAATACACTGTCGGGCTTGCTCGACTGTAGCGTTCTCTCTTGTTTTATACTACCTTGGGTTCCATTTTAAAGGCAAACGGCATATGAAAAGTTTTTTGAGATTCTTCGATAGCCGTTCATCTTGCGTTTATCTCTTACTTTGTTCGACAGTATGAACCTCGGTAGCTCTTGAACTGTAAAAGCCAGAGGCACTAGAAACTTAATCCATATATATATAATACAGCCGGAGTAAAAAACATTTTTCGCTTATGAGTTTTAGTAGCTTATGGCTCTGTAGGTAGGGAAGAGGTTACTGGGTATTCTTGTCGTAGACATTTTAAGTTTTAGGAGGTAAATGAAAGTGATTCTAATATTTGTCATTACATTCAAATAGAAGATTTTTGAGTCCTTTCATTCTTCCTTTTCTTCTTTTAGGTGTCATGTTGTGCATTGTGATTGTGGCGTGCAATTTGTTTGTGGCACGAGTATTGTGCTTCATTGGCCATAGTCGCACCACTACGCGCCACATGCAATACAATCTGGTGAATCGCGACAAGAGCGTGCGCAGCATTGACGCGGAAAGCAGCAGCGGCACCACACTCTACCAGAGCCAGTACAGCACCACCAGTAGCCACAATGTGCCGCCACCACGTCAATTCTACCACAGCAACAGCGTCACAATGACGGCACAGACATCGCCCAACGAGATCAAATTCGCCAAACTGATGGCTTTCCTGAGCATCTCCTTTGTGGTTTGCTGGATGCCCCAGATGGTATTTATTATAAATCTGTATATCCGCTTAAACATTTTACTAATTCTTGGTCCCTATATTCTAGATTTCCATACCGCTGGCCATCATGCCGAATCGTATACCGGCAAAGCATCCATTTTTCGTCATAGCAGACTTGTTCACGGCTCTGCATTTCGCATCCGATCCCTATGTCTATGTGCTGAGCCGCACCAAGCACTCGTTTGTGATGGGCTGCCTGAAGCGCTGGCGCTGCGGTTTGCGCCGATCCCAGAGCGATCAGAGCCGCCTGCGCACCACCGCCACGGAGCAGAATACGCTCGATTGTAACTTTAATTGAGGCATCATTCGAATCGGTGCCAATACATACAAGTACTTATATGTATAGTATACGTCTCGGATTTACTCAAAAATTATCCTACCGCTCGTCTCTTGTAATTAGTTTCTAAGCTGTAGATAACAACTATCGTCCTAGACGTAAGAATCTTCATACTTTATGTAAAAATATGGTTCTCATACTCTCGTACATACTTATATATGCATATACATATATGTATAAGTATATGTATTAATAATCCAAACGATGTAGTTTAAACATTGACGATACAGAGCATCGAATGTTCAGCAACTGGATAAGCGATGCGGAATATTTTTTAAATCTAAATAAATAGGATATTTATAACACAAAATAAGAAGATATTGTAGCTGCATACTATATTTCTATTCCTTCCCAGAGTGAAAATTCTTTTTCAACGTTTTCAACGAGCTATCGCTCGCCCTTATCGGACGTAAACTCACCGAAATATGCGTCATAGCCGACACAGGTACCCGACTCAGTGCGAGTTTGAAAAGATCGCCGGTTCCACACCAAAGTCGAGTCCCACTTGGTCGCAATACCAGACGATCATAAATAAGCCGAAGGTGGATTCGCAATCGTAAACAATGACACGTGCGTAAGAAAACTGCTGACTTTGTTTATCTGGCGACGTTTGTTTACTTTGGCATTTGCAATGTACGGTCGCCTCTTTCGCTCTTGAGGCTGAAATCGACGCATCGGACTTTACAGTTGCTTTGCTTTTGCGCCGCTTGCTCTCATGTCATTTGCTTACAAGATTACTTATTTATTTCTTTTGCGCTGCCTCTATGCGTCATATCAACCAAAGTCATAAACCCCGGACTCGATGCGATTTCGAAAATATCGCCGGTTCCATACCAAATAGGAGGCACGCTTGGGCGCAGTATCAGGCGATCATAAATAAGCAGCTGGGAGTCTCTCAAAAGCAAACAAAACCTTATTTGTAAACAAACTGCTCTAACTGCAGCTGTGGCCTAACTGTTGTTTTGTTTTGCTTCTGCCTCTCACATAATGTGTATGTCTAGGCATCTCTTTCGCACTTGCTGTTGAACTCACTGCTCACTGCTGATCCCAGTAGGCTTGCTATTATTTATGTTCCCCTGGTCGCCCACTAAAGTTAGACTTGCATTTTGAATGGGAAGTTTGGAACCAAGTCATCCCCGGACTCGATGCGAATTTAAAAAGGTCGCCGGTTCCATACCAAACGCGAGGCCCGCTTCGGCGAAGTATTAGGCGATCATAAATCAGCAGCTGGCAAACTCTCAGAAGTAAACAAAACCTTATTTGTAAACAAACCGCTCTCACTAGCTGTTGTTTTGTTTTGAGTCTGCTGCTCTCATAATTTGTATGTATCTGCGTCTCTTTCGCACTTGCTGCTCGCTGCTGATCCCAGTGAGCTTGCTGTCATTTATGTTCGCCTGGTCGACCATTAAAGTCAAACTAACATTGTTCGCTGGTTGGGACAATATTTAAAATTCGGACGAGTCCCCGATTTCATACAAAATGCGAGTCAGACTTACGTGATGTAACAGGCGAACATAAATGGAAACAAGCGAATTCGCATCAGCAGGAAGTAAACGAACAGCGCAGATCGAAGAAGCTTCATGCGCGAAAGAAGTGGACAGCAGTCGCAGAGTCAAAATAAACAAATACTAGATAAGAACAACAAAAGGCAAGAGTGAAAGAGACGACCATACATTGCAAATACCAAACTAAGTCAGCAGTTTTCTTATGCACGTGTCATTGTTTACGTTTGCGAATCCACCTTCGGCTTATTTATGATCGTCTGGTATTGCGACCAAGTGGGACTCGACTTTGGTGTGGAACCGGCGATCTTTTCAAACTCGCACTGAGTCGGGTACCTGTGTCGGCTATGACGCATATTTCGGTGAGTTTACGTCCGATAAGGGCGAGCGATAGCTCATTGGACTCGTAGTCACATTATCTAGCTATTGGCATCGACAGTTCAGGTAGTCAAGATGTTTCAGCCAAGTACGTAAGCGATAGTGTCATTCTAAAGACATCTCTCTAACTAATAATTTTAAATTTTATTTATTAGTGATTTCAACTTATATTTATTATTGCTGACTACTAATTAAGGCCTTGTACAAAATTATTGTATTTTTGTTAAGTGCTAAATGCTAAATTCATAGTTTTTCGTTTATGTTGTTGTTCGTAAAATTAGAAGACGAAAGTGTTGTGTTAGTCTAAATGTTAATTGGATTTAAACATATAATATACAAAAATAACAATAGGCGGAAGAGCATATCGAAATCATATTGAAACAGAAACTTTATAATAAATTGCACATTCTGCAAGCTTTTTCGGGATTTCCGAGTTCAATTTCTGTGTATTGTGGTGTGTGGAAGCAAAACAAATCGACTCGACTCGACTGTCTAAACGTTATAAGCATTAAAATTAACTAAACATATTTTGGCACTGCAAATAAAAGTGGTTTAAAAACAAAAACCTCTTAAAAACAACAATCAATACATATACATTATACATACATACAAATTGATGCTATGAAATGAAGAACGCAAAACAATAGTAATAATAGTTAATAAATTATACACGATTTTGCTTGCCAAATGCACTTCTCAATACTTTAGTATACTTGTACAATCAGATCCCAGATTCCCAATTCCGAATCCAAACAAATTTAACGAAATCGAAACGATGAGTGAATTGTAAGGAATTCGGAAACGCAAACATTTTTATGAAATTTCAAATCGATTTCGATAGATTCAATTGATTTCGGATAAAGGCAAGAGACCCCAATATTATATTGCTCAGATATATGTACTATGTACGAATTTATTCGTACGTACTTGTATGTATATTATTTTCCTAAACATAAATTTCGTTTGATTATGCTATCAGCTCTAAAGTTCGGCAAACACGCTTTGTGAGCCAACAGATGCCGCTCTGTTGGGTCCAAGCGCGGAGGACCTCTAGACCATGCCGAAGTCGGTGCAGACGGAGGCTGTAGGCGCCTGATTGTTCTGCTGCTTCTGCTCCTGGGCGCTGTTCGCTGCCGCAGCTGCCGCCGCTGCTGCCGCCATGTTAAGCTCCACAAGAGTGTCGATGCTGTTGAGACTGACTCCTTGGAGGATCTTGCGCGCTGCCAGTGATGTGAAGTTGAATGACAGATCCGTAAGGCTGGGAAAGTTGTAGAGCTCCTCACTGCCCCCCGTGCCCAGACCATTGCCCAGCCCCTGCTCAAGGGATTCCTTTGTCAGGCTGAATCGCCTGTCGATGGCCTCCTTGTCGATGGACTTATCATTGGCATGATCCTTGAGTGCCAGGTTGGGCTCACTGCCCAGTGGGTTGCTGGACTTTTGAAGCAAATGGGCCAAGGCCAGTTCGTCGCCACTCATCGTGCATTTCTGCAGCTGACAGACAGACTCGAAGCACAAGTTCTTCAAGTCGCTGCTCGAGTTCATCATCTTGTTGTTACTCTGCGTGGGCGCCAGATCCTTCGAGTGCTTCTCATAGAAATTCAGGTTGCCCACCGAGCCGGCAATCTCAAAGTCCTGCTTGGCCAGGGCGGCCAGCTTCAGGGGCTTTTCGGTGCACGGCGAATTCGGCTGGGATTCGTTCTTCAGGACGTTGCTCTTGTAGGCGATGTTGCTGTTGGGATGTGGGGCCAGATGGAGACACAACTTGCGACTGTTGTTCATGGTGGCGTCGTTGTTGGTGTTCTTGGCATATTTTCCACCATCGTAGGGTGTCTCCAGGACACTGCTGTGATGACTCTGACTGGCCGTGTTGTCGGGCGATATTTCGCTGATGAACGAAATCGAGTCGCAGGTCTCCGAATTCGTGTCATACTCGCTGCAGGCGCCATCCAGGTGGGCGTTGGGCATAGTCTGTGCCGGCGACGGCGAAGGCGACGACGATTGACCTTCCTGCTGCATTGTCTGGGTCTTGAGGGGCGTGGAGGTGGCTGATGCCGAGCCAGCGGCACTGTGCTGCTTGGAGAGCGTCTTCTTGATGACCTCGCCCTTCTCATTGGTCATCGTCTCGTTGTTGATGATGAACACATTCGAGTTCTCCAGCATTTTGCCATTCTCGAGCGTTATGACGCTCCTCGCTGGCGAGTTCTGCACAAAGATCTTGGTGCTGGGTATGCTCTGGTGGCCGTTCGAGGTGGTCACCTGCAGTGTGATGGAATTGTTTGAGTTCGAGTTGGGCACTCCATTGGCTGATGCTGCGGTTTGATGATAGCCCGAGAGCTCCTCGAGAATGCGCGACGGCGTGCTCGCTCGCTGACGCTGCGCCTGCGCCTCAGCCACCCGCGCTCTCATGGCTTGATGACGCGGTGTGCCTCGTGGTGAACCATTGAGGAGTAGTATGGAACGCGCTGGATTGTTGCCGTTGCCATTGCCAATGCTGCCGTTGCTGCTACTGCTGGGCGCCACAACGGCCGTGTTTGTGGAGCACTGCGAGTCCAGACTAGAATGACCGCTGGTCTTGTTGCTAAAGGAAACCTTTCCGCTGTCGATGCTCGACGGGCCGGAGGTAAACATGGAGGAGTTCTTGCCCGATTCCAGGCTGGAGGGTCCGCTGCTCTGCAGGCTGCGATACGTGGACTTGTTGTCCGTGCTGCTGTTGATGATCAGACCATCCGTTTGGCGCTTGGCCGCCGCGGCCTTCAGCGTCGAGGAACGCGCTGGCGAGGACTCGAAGATGTGTTTGCCAATCACGGATTTCGGTGCGGTCTTTTGCAGATGGGCCGGCGATTGGCTGGGCGCTGTGGGCGTGGGCGTGGGCGTGGCAGTGTGCAGACGTGACAATGTGGCCGACGAATGATTCATCTTGTGCTTGTTGTTGGCCGCTGCGGCTGTCGCTGTGGCCGTAGCCGGTATCGATTGCGTGGAACGTGGCAAGGAGCTGCTGCAGTAGACGGGGGAGCGGCGGCGTATGGGGGAGCAGTCGCGCGACGAAATCAGGAAGGTCGACTCGCTGGACATGTGACGGCGATGACGGCGCGGCAAAGTGGAAGATCGCTGACTCAACTCGGAGCCGTCGTAGAACGTCGAGTTGGACAAAGTATGAACCACAGGCATATCCTGAAAGATAGATTTCAATACATTTCGATTCAAAGAATGGCAGCCCGGTACTCACGTGATCCGCCGTCTGGGTGCCGACGCTGTGTAAGTGGACGGCACGAGTATTGAACCACTCGGCGGGTGGAAATTGTGCAGAGTACGTTTCAATCTGGCGCTGCTTGGCACGGCCGCTGCGTCGGAACAGGCGTGAGAGCAAAGATCCTTTTTCTGCAAGTACGCGGGCATGAGGGATTATTAGAAGGCATGCTTCAAAGGGCTACTCCATGGTATACTCACTGGGTGATGACGAATCTGTGCTTTGGTATTCCGAGCTGCTGCTGTCAGTCGTGTTCAGCGTCTGCGCATACGTCTTGGATAGACTTCGGGTTGAGGCGCAGCGCTGCAGGCGCTTCGAAGATCCAAAAAGCCGCAAACTATGACGACGTTCCAGGCTGCGCGGCGTCGGAAACGATGCACTGCGTCGCTTGGCGGCACGCGGATAAATGATCTTGTCATTGGGATTGCCTACAACATATTAAGAGACCGACCAGTAGTAATTACACTTTTCAATATGGCTTACTTCGCTGCCCCTTTCATTAAGTTTACAGATTTGCTTTTGCTGATGACGATGGATACTATGCACCTACTCGTATATTAGGGCTTGTCCCGCAAATGTTTTGTGACTTGTGAGCAAGCTGTTTCTTTATCGTTGACGCTAACGCGTTGACTAATTCGAAATATTGAAATGATTTATAATCGCCTAGAGGGTCGACTGGTTATTTCATGACTAGAACTACTGACGATGAAGTTTTTAAGTTCGCAGATCACTTAAAGTTCTATCCGCCCTTTCTGTTATCTTCACTCTGAGCAAACTTTTACACAAAGACAACTTCTGAATTAATCTTCCATATGTTAGCACTTCTAACAAACCTTCAAGAAGATAGGTTATGGAGCTTTAACTGGGGAACCACCAACAAAAATCAGCTCAACGTCCGCTCATTTCATATCTCTCTCTCATACCCTCTCTCTCTCTCTATCTCACTTTTCTTCCACTCCTCAGCATTAGCCATAACGTAGTTATAAATGAAAGCGCTAGATCTAACACTTACCGCCACAAATAACATCGGCCAGATTGGTCTGGATGCACTGGTGTGTCAGATCGCCATCGCGCTCCGTCGATATCTCGCCATAGAGCGAGTGCAGAGCCTCCGCATTGGACATGAGCATAGTGCGTGCCTCCAGCGGAACCTCTGTTCCGTCCTCCTCGTCCAGCTGCCCATAGACGAGGCTGCTGCCTCCGCCACTGCTGCCACTGCCGTTGAGGTGTTGATGATGGTTGCTGCGGGGACGCGAGCGACTGCGACGTCGTCTGTGGAAGATAGAATTTAGGATTAGGGCTCGATACTGAAATACTGGCATTCGACTCACTCTGGCGTAAAGATGAAGTATCCCTTTGATGTCTGATAGATTTTCTGCTCCTGCATCAGCTGGGCGAGCGTATCGTAGATGACCTCCGTGGCCGGGGTCGTCATGTGGGCGAATCGAACGCCCAGCTTGCTGCGCACATGTTCGATGGTCGCCGACTGGCCCTCGGCGGTCAGATCCATAATCACGTCGCAGAGCGCCTCGGGCAGTGGCGTGAATTGTCCCTGAACTGTTGGCGTCACAATGCAATCGTCAATGTCACCTGCAAGCAGAGCAAGGAGAGCGAGTCGGTCGTCAATAAAAGTGCCTCGATTGTGTTTACATGTGCGTGACAAATAAGGCTAATTATCGGTCGACCTGCCACAGCTGGCTGCCACATTTGGTGCCACAACTAAACTTGCTCGCATTTTTCCAGCCCCAGCCAGCATTTTGGGCGACCAACTCTGGACATTGGCTCGGCACAACATCTATGGATCTCATGTAATTGAACTGTCTTTGATGTTCGTGTTTTCGTTGCTAAGGCATGGAGGTCGCATCGCAGACAACGACGCGGCATGCCGCACAATCGCATTTCGGACTCCTAATAAGGCAAATGCTATTGTGGTGCATCACTCACACGGCGTATACGTAATTAAAATGCACGCCCAGAAACACGGGCCAAGCCAAAATATATCTATATACATATACCAACTTGTTGTTGCTCACATATGTTTGTATTTACCCTAAAAATGCGCTTATCAGCTATAATACGAGATTTGTGAAGTGGCGACAAAATATTTATCACAATCTTCAACATATTCAATACATCCTCCTGCTCCAGCTTGTCCTTTCAAGCCATTCAGCCGATATCCAATTTGTACAACTAGAACACTGGAATAGCTAAGTAGCTAATCGGTTTGCACTATCATGTAATGTTTTTAGGTTTGCGGGAAGTGAAAAATGTAACAGACAGATGGATGCGTGACAAGCCCCACAAAGTACAAGTATATATATTCTGTGTATCTGTCCGTCTGTATGAACACCTGGATCTTAGAGACTAGAAGAGCTAGAGATACAAAATGTTGGACACAGATGCCGCGCATCTGTTTGTTTTACTTTTATAGTTCACCTCCCATTTGCCCCAATAGGGGATTTTCCGTAACACCGTTCGTAGGTATTTCATAAATGTGTATCTCAGAATTTTCGTGCTTTCCCCCACTCCCCGACTTAAGCTTTTCCACTTGTTTTAAATTTTGTGTATAAAAGTATAGGACTTTAGTTAGCTTCTTTCAATGGCATGATCTCCACCAAAAACACTCGACGGTAAAACAACATATAGTTTGCATATATGTGTTGAATTCCGATAACTAATGGGGTAGGTATATTTCAGCGATGCACTGTGGCGGCGGCCATTAATGACGACAATTAGGGTGGAAAGTGTATTTTATCTTCGGATCGGCATTTGTGGGCTTTTGAAGCGCTTGCCTTTGCCAGCCGCGTGCCTATAAATTAAACGCGCCTTCGCGCGCTTCCTACTTGCAGCTTAACCTGCAACAACAAAAACAAAACCACAAACAGCAACAGCAACAACAACAACTCAAACATCAACGCCCCCAAGTGGCGCTTCATGTGGCAGCATCAAAATTGCAATAATAAAACATAAATAAACGACAACAATGAGCGAACGACTGGGCCTCCGACATGGAGGGAAACAAAAGCTATAGAGCGCAAGCGAAATGGGACCAAAAGTGTGCGAGAGCTTAGTTCGACCTGAGTGGCAGTGCCTGCGGCAACGTCCTTGTGGCAGCATGGCCACCACCAATGCCTTGGTGGCAACAGTGCGGTTGCATAATTTTCCAGTTTCCACTTTCGGTTTGCGGGCCGCCGAAAACAAATTTGCAAGGCAATTGTGTGGCATGTGGGATGCCACCACAGCGTGTGGCAAGCAGCTGGCAACTAGCAACAATCACCGGCGCCATCGTCAAGGACAATTAGCGGCATTTGACGCACGCCGCTTGCCACTCCATTCGCCGCCACAACGCTACAATCACAATCAAATCCTCAACAACTACTCGTAAGTCGCACAAGGCGCACTTTCACATTCGTATTCACATTCGCATTCGCGTTCACAATTCACAATCCACGGCTCACAATTCGCAAATTTGTTTGTCGATTAATCTTAGAAATCATATCATGTCCCATGGCATAATGGCATGTCGGCCCAGCCGCCGCCCACAGCTTCAGCTCCCGACCAAAAACCACTAGCACCACTGACCACCGACCACGGACCACCGACCACTTCCCTCCAGCCTGCCACACAATTTATTTCCCTCCGCTTATCGGGCCGACATATTTGTTATATGGCGCACTTATTTGGCACACCGCCCAACACCCAACAACCAACAAACAACACCCAGCACATAAATTGCAACTCACTTGTCTCGGCCCAGAGTCGAGCGAATAAATAAAGAAATATGACGGGAAACATCTGAAATATGTTGCCGTACTTCGTTACACATTATTTTTTAGGTGAGACGCATGCTTGCTGGTCAACAAGAATTTGGCAACAAAAGCATAAAGTTTGGCTAAGAGCTTTGTTCGCTTGTCTTGTCAGTTATGTGTTATAAATAGCCCCAATGGATTGGAGTATCTGAGTGAGACTAGAAACTGTTGCTGGCAGGTATTTGCCACAGCAATAAACAAAGCTTCAGGAAAAAGGACTGTAATTATGCAGGCAATATTTCTAAAAGTATGCTTAAAGATATTTATATTTCAGAATTGGTGCTAGCAGGTATACTTCTGCAGCCCCGCCTTGCAGCTTGTTGGCGCCCAATGTGGGGCGCCCTTAACCTCTGAAGAGTAGAAGTCAACTACATGGAATTTCAATATATGTAAGCATCTGGGAAAAGCTGCGATTAAGCGGCAACGTGAGGCTGCAGGACAATATACACAGTTGTCGCCCAAATTGGGGCTCAGTAGACCATGGCCATGGCCATGACCATGACTTTTATATATAATCTCTATTTTATGACCGGCTATTGGCTACCTGAATAGCGGCACAATGATATTGCAGAAATACATTGACTGAAGGCTGTGTTTATGTTATAATCCTGGAATACCTGGAATACATACACGTTCTAGAGCGAGTTAAAGCTAAGCCCCATCTTGAAATCAGAAGTAAACACTACAAAGCTGACGATTGGTCGCTCATGAGGTATCTGCGAATTACTATTTAGAACCGCATAGAAAAATGAAATCACTTCTGGTATAGATAAGATAAGCATATTAGATTGCACTTGTCCGCCTACATCCTTATTAAGGCACAGGCATTCAAAGTTATTGTATTTAGCTCACATTTCCATTGCAGGTCAGAGACGCCACAGATGATTATGAATCTGAGTAGAGAGATGGAAACTATTGGCGCATTTTCCCACCAACGCGTTGCAAGTTCCAAGCTTGCAATGCCAAACGCCCTCCACCCTCCACACACCTCCCCAGCCAGCCCAGCCTCGTCTCTTCGAAGTAGAGTGAAAGTGTTGCGTTTGGTTCAAATTGTAGGCATTTGCCATTGTTGTTGTTGTTGCCACAGTTGGTGCTGTTGTTTGTGTTGTTGTTGCTGGTCGCTCGCAGGCTGTCAGGCACTATAGTTTGAATTTGAGGTGCACTTTGGTTTATGTTATTGTTGTTGCCAGCGGACACATATCCTTGTGTTCAATCAAACCAAAGCGACGTCAACGCCGTCGTTGTCGTTGGCACCACCAGCACCACCAGCGCCTGCACCACCACTAGCGATGTTACCATCGCAATCGATGTGCATCGATGTATCCCAAATTTTAAATTAAGATGCGGATCGGCTGTAACTCGCTGATTTGGCTTGTAAAAAACATCGATGTTTCCAAACACTAATCGGTTAGTGTAGCTAGAAACAAGTACCTGAATATATAGTTGTAGGATCCACGCTGGAATACGAAGCATATGGGGGATGCTGGAAAATAGAGCCTTGCTTACATAGAAACAAAAAAGTGATACAACTTCTGATTATGGCAGAACACTACACAGAACTCATAAATAGAGTCCTCTTTCATCCGGACTTATCGCAGTTAGACGGACACTTTTTCTAGAACATTCATTGGGTGCACTACGAATTTAATTATCGCCTTACGCGAACACTACTCTTGGGCGCTTAAGATACCTTTATAAGCCAAAAAGTTATCCCCAAGAAGTTGCTCTCAAATTCGGTATCAGTTGCAAACGTATTTCGAGGTAGACTACCATCTCAGCGTTATCTTGAAACTTAACCAAAAAGTGTTCCGATGTTGCATGGATGCCTCAGCGATGTACATATCTGTGCAGCGTGATTATCGAAGGCCAATGCATCGATCCTTTCGCACATCTCTAGCCACCACTCGTAGAGGCTGTGGCGGCATCGCGTCGGAGTCAAGTGTTTTGTAGCTTGAAGGTTGTTTCTGCCGCCGAACATGCAGCAAACATTTTTGAGCGCTTGTTGTGTTGCCATGAATTTTTATGCAAATGAAAAATGTTTCTTGCGATTTCCATTTTGCACAGCCAACCTGCAAGCGCCACCGCCCCCGCACCCCACACAGCAGTGGCAGCAACAACCATTACTGTGACGCAATTGCCGCAAGTAACAATAATCTTGATGTATGAAGTTTTGTCTCTTTTTCTTTTATTATTATAAACAAAACAAAAAATAAAAGAGGAAATCTGTGAGCCTATCGTGTTGCTGGCACATTTTCGCGTTGTTTTGTTTGATCTCATAACCGACGGGCAACAACAACAAAAACAACAACAAAAACAACAACAACAATCAACGTTGTTTTTTTTCAACTCTGTCTGTCCATTTCGAAATAATCAATAATTTTTAGCTATCAAAGGCAATTTATTATTTTCTTTTTTGTGGCTCCGTACCGCGCCAAAAAGCGCTCGGGGGTGCGAATGTTGCGGAGAAATAGAGAGAGAGAAGTAAATAAATTAACACTTCCTTAAACGATAAAACACAAATATCGCATCCCAGTCGACGGCAAAATCAAGACAATGCCAAATGGCCGTTTCAATTGATAACGACAAACGTTTAAAAACGTCACGAGCTTGTTGCTCTTTTCTCCCCACTTTTTTCTCAACTTTTTCTGCGCAGGCGGAGTATGCTATTTATTTTTTATTATTAATTTTAATTGCCTTGGCACGGACTCTCAAGATGTGGTTGCCACAGCAAAGCGGTTGGCGGCAATTACAAATAGTGCTTAGTGCTTAATGCTTTCTGGG